CACGCATACTATTTGCAGGATTTTTTGCAATCTTTTCTACATCTATAAACAAAATTCTTTTAGACGCACAAATAAAAGAATATAACACAAAAATAGCAACAAGACAGAACACATACGACGAAGAACATAACAATGTAGACACAACACCAACAGCACCACAGTTACCACCCCTACCACATAACCATCCATTATCCCTAGTCCCACGTAATTTTCGAAATTTAGCCATAACACATAATCAAAATTTTAGACCAACCATATCACAAAGTCCCATCCAACATATAATGCCACACCACTCACAAGATGAAAATACTTATGAACAAATTATAGAACAACCCCATACCACCGCTTTTCAGTCTCAAAATAATAATTTTTTTAGCCCACGATGAGCCGACAACTTGGATCCCTACACCGATCAAATTCCCACCCAACCAACCTCACCACTCCAATCCAAATAATACCACTTTTTGCTTTTCCGCCACCCGATTTCCCCACCAGTAATGTAACATCCGGCATGAATTCCGATACTAATTCACACATCTCAGTTTTATTCTCCATCTCACAACTAAATAACCCGAATATTGAAACCCCCGATGAATTTGCCGACTCTGAACCATCTCCATCAAATAATTTTCACACCAACTCCTCAAATTTTTCTCAACCCCCTTTTCAACCCATACTACCAAATAACCCTGACCCAACCAATTCTACACCCTCTTATGCTTCCCAAGTCACTCCAACATACTCCTCACTTCACTCAGACCAATCATCTCATTCTCCAGACACCCCCCGAATCTCCCCAGAACTAGATAATTTCATTACCCTACAACAACAACCCTACCACCTTGACACCCCAACCATAAACCAAATCTCATCCACAATAGATTCATCCAACCCTCCTACCCCTACACCCTCTTCAATTTATACCGAATCATTAGCACCATCATCCACAACTACTGAATCTTCACTTAGCACTAATAGAGCTTACCGCACTTTTAAAAGAAAGTTCCCCAACCATCCTTTCCCAGCGAAACCAGGAACAGCCCGTGAATATATCAACCATCCAAAACACACTAACACAAAAGAATTTTTAGCTATCACCTTACCCTCATTTCCACAATACACCTTAAACACCCCTCACGACACGTAACTTTGTAGACGAATACGTTTTAATGCCTACCCTTCCTTGGACCTCATATTATCATTTTACTAATCCCCTTTGCTTACCATTATCTAACACTCACATCGATATAGAACGAAATAAGGACATGCTATATCGACTCACTACACCACTAACATCTAGACAATTTACCTACATTGGATATGAAAAATCACTAAAAACACACACTGCACCCCGAGCTAATGAATATACACTAGAATATTACGATCATAACATCATCAGAACTAACCAAGATCAATTCTTAGACGACGATCGCTTCGCTAACCCACAAATCACCGAGAAATTTTTCATTAAAACACCATATGTATTTACACTAAATATCTTCGATCGCAAATTTGACCACATTATTTCAGAAGCACTAACAGACACGCAAGCCTACGAAAGTTTTAAAGAACGCTTCCAAATATTTTCACTAACCTTTCATTTCCTTGCACCACATGAAAGAGATTTGCACTGCTCACACGATATTATGTTGCGCACTAAACAAACACACACATATACTTATTATCGTTTCATCCAAAATCACTTTGACCTACACACTCCCTCCAGACAACCACACCATCGTTTTCAATTCATCAATTCCAAATACACCTCACCATTCTTTCTTAACTTCACATATTGCATTAAAGATACTAACCTTCATGGTATTCTTCGAAATTATGATCCCATAACCCAAATGTATATTTTTTGTCCAATCACCAAGACCTTCAACGCAGAAGAATCCCGACCCTTCCTTATCCCACACGAATTTGTACAACCTATAGAAATCCCCATTTTAGAATTCATCCATAACACTAAATTCAATCACAAATTATATAATCTAATCCAAAACACACCTTATGAATTTGCAGTTGGCACTGAAGAACTAACCACCATTAAAGCACTCCAATTGCTTTGGCCACTACTTCAAACTAAAAATATCATCCGCATTTTAGCTAAATTACTAACAACTTCAGATCTCATCCACGACATCTTCCCCCACGGTTTCTTCCCCGACGACTAACAGTATGAATTATACATATTACTAACTAATTTAAATATTAGAAACTCACCATTCTTTATCCATGTTTTCTTTAGAATTTTAGCCTTCATCCAACGATCATCTGAAAAATTCACAAAAGAAAAAATAAAAAATAGCAAACTTCTTCAAAACTGTTTAAAACCCTATTAAATTTTTGCACCAACAATTAAGTAAATATAATACCAATGCAGTATTTTAATTTATAAATTTTTCCCCCACAAGCAGTAAATCTAATAATGATGAAAATTTGTAACTTAATTTTCCCCAACAACTAGCAGTAAAATTGAAATTCTATTGAGTAAATTAATAAGAAGCAAATGCAGTACTAACCTTTTGATATTTTCATTCACTCGCACAAGAATTCTATCCAAACTCGCACAGCTCGCCCACGAAGAATTGTTTAAATAATGAATTTCAGTTTCAAGCTTTCACAACTCAACAACTCTAACACACGATAACAAGTTTCAAACTTTCCTTTAACCCGGTTGGAAAGGAATTATATACTAAACAAAACTAACCAATGCAGCTTACTAAACACCACAACACATAGCATAACAGCATGACTAAGAAAAAGGAAACCAACGGTACCCAAACCGGATTAACCCAGTTTAAAACTGGATAATTTATTCTTTTGAAGACTATTATAAAGTCTAAGAAAGAAATAATAAAACACAAAAAAGTCGAAAGACAAACCCATACCACAAACAATTTGATTTTTGAAAAAAGGACACAACCAACAAAACATAAGAAAAACCACAACAAACCCAACATAAAACGTTGTCACATAACAGGACCTCTCACAAAAACCGCATGCAATCATACTCCCACTCCTGGCCTAACCCACCAGGAAGGACGTCCTGAGCATGCTCTATAGCCGGCCTAACCCACCGCGCTACATCCACGCTTTGTGACACACACTCCTATTTTTAATAAGAGCTACTCAAGGGTGAGTAACTCTTCAAAATAACTGAACTAAAACAAAAAGCTTTTGTGAAAACAACTAACTAAAATCATAATTAAAAAATATTAAACTAATAAAAGTTTTATAAAATGTAAATTACATTATGCAATACATAGATCAGAATACAACACCAAGGACGAACATCCAAAGACAAAACGACCCTACTACACTCGAGAAAGAATGGCCAACCAACAATCAATATGCCACCCACAATCACAACTCAAAGGATTTAGAGTACGACTTGACTTCGCAGAAAAGGACTTCATTGAACTAGACCAATGACCACCTCGATGTTCAAGTATACGTACAGATCCGAGTAACCAGGCATCCCCTCCACGCACAATCTCCACGCCATTCCCAGACAAGGTCAAACACAAAGAAGTTCTCATCAATGAAACAGAAAAACCTGACATAGCCAACCATTCTGAAATCAGATTTGAGTTTGTTGCGAAAACCCAGTCGTTGTCTTGAGAAGACACAACGATTGAATCTGGGACTTCTCTAATAAGAAAACCCAGAAGAAATAAGATGTTCGCCAAATACCAACGTCCATCATCCATCCTTTGAATTGCAGAAAGACTATTCTAAAAAACTCTGTAAAACCCGGATGGGTGGAACCTGATCTAAACTACATTTTATGATTGGATAAATTAGATATTTTACCAATGTAAAGTATTTAATATTAACCAATCATGATCCATCTGACTAACAATCCACTTATTTGTAAGTGCTGAAATTACTTGTAATTTCAGCACCAGAGAGATTTGAATTTAACTTAGAAATTAGTTGAACTCTCCCGAGTACTTCAGCAGCCGCAATAAACCAGTATACCCTAGATCTATTGAGCCTAGCAGAGACTAGTTAAACAACCTGAGACTAGATAGTATAAGAGTAAGATTAGGATCGGTATTAGACTAAGAAGTTGCACGAATCTATCCGGCCGAAAATAAGATAGCGTGACGAGCAGACGGTGTACCCTATCCGAAATTACTCTATGAGTTATACCCATCGGTCCTAACTCATAAGAGATAGTTTATTTCAGTTTCTACAACTGCAGTCACTTGAAAGTAAATGCACATTTTCAAGAAAAGTTATTTATGGAAAAAGTCTAGTTCCCGATTACAAGTACACTTCCTCTCTGAAGTGAAACTAAAAACCATTTCAAAGCTTCTTTAAAATAATAGAAGTAGAATTTATTCAGTTCCAGTAAAAACAGCTTCATGGCATTTTCAGCTGAAATTTTCCTTTTTCTTTAAAAACTTGAAACAAAACAAAATGGACGACCGCCGCCTGTTCACGTGTTTGAGCTGCGTTCAAACTGTTTGACCGATTTGAATTTTGTCATAAAGTTTGAACGGACACGTAAATTTACGTTTTTCAATAGTAAATCTCATCACAAAATACGTTCTTTTTGAAGCTTCAACATAAGTTCTGTTTCTTTCTGCGCAAACTACTAGATAATCTTTGTCGGAGCAACTGGTTATTATTACAAGCTAAATGATCTTTCATCAAAAAGCCATCGCACGAGGCTTTCAAGTAAAGAAACAAAGTAATAAAGAAGTTCGTTCAACTTTCGTTTCATTATGAACTTTGTTTTCATAGTATTGAGTCTACCATTCACTAGTAAAAAAAAACAGAAAAACATGTAAAAAACGAAAAACATGATAAATTGCAACGAAAAAAACTGTTTCCCAATTTAACCTAAGCTTCGCTTGTAGAAAATGAAAAGAGAGTTTAAGAATGAGGGTAGTAACAATATAGATTATAGGGTTTTGAAGCGACCGAATTGCACATAGAATTAATCATACAGCCAGATTAATGATAGGAGTAAGTGGACTCACTTGAGCAGTGGACAGTGAGTGGAGATGGTGCTCCAATCTGTCCACTTCTGTCTGCAATTGTCTCTTCTCCCACTCCACTCTCTTCACTCGCACCCCTCCACACACATTACCCCCACACACCACCCTAAAACAACACACTAATACAGGTGAGGATTTAGGGGGGGGGGGTCTTCCCTGAGCGATTCGCCTCACTGCCGACCCAAAGGGTTCCCCCTTTGGTACTATTTTAAGACATCCAATTTTGGCTGACCGACTTTAAAAAAGTTCTAAAGACGCCTTCGACGCCAATATACACCAATTTTAACAGGGAGCGCGCGTGGAAGAAACGCATTTTTTTGGTTAAAACAACCCTTAAGTGCCTAAAAACGCCTTTTTATGCCTTTTTCTGAAAACCCACCCCTCGAGAAAATCCTGGATCTGCCCCGTTACTAAATATATACTACTACACAGAGACGAAGCGGAGCTTCGCACCACTTGCGATACAACACATACATAAAAAAAACATAAGCCGAAAAAAAATGATATATGTTGAACAAAACTAGTTGAACCAAACTTTTCGTATGTCTAGATTAAAAAAAAAATAGGGGATCAGCCAAAGGTGGAGGTATGTGTTTGATACTGAATGATTTTGCGATATTGATGTGGCACTAAAATCATGATTTCAAAAATTGGACTTCGCTCAAAACTTTAGTTTTCTCTACTAAAATAAGTGAGAAGTGATTATTTTGAGATAATCAACTTTCCCAGGAAGATAACATTGATCTTAGAAATCATTAAGGAACCGCCGCCTCTGCTGGAACCATTATCGCCACCAATTCTTTCAATTGAACTTTTCATCTCAGATTTGCTTGTGTAATTTAAAGCCTCAAAAAGCTTCTTAAAAAACGGTCATAAGTTCTAAAAAAACGATCAAAAGGAGTACCAAAAACCATGACTTTTCCTGCAAAGAGCAGGTTGTGGCCGCTCAAGCACAGAAGATTTCTAAAACCGGGATTCTTGATAGAAGACAACCTGGGAATTGTTACGGTAGTTTTCGCGTAAAGTCAAACAGTTTGCAAAAACTGTCAAGTTTCAAAACTTCGTCTTGATTGAAAGCCATAACTTTTTCTAAACAAAGAGGGCATAGCCAGTTATAAAGGTTATAAACTTAAAATCTCAGATTTGGGAGTGCAGTTTTTGAGCAATGTCAAAAACTTTAAACAGAACGGTCAAAAAATGAAAATTTTGACTTTTCCGAGGGCCAAAACTTTTAGTGTCACAAAATTTAGGTAAAAACCGCATGAGCTTCTTTGAACTGAACCCAAAATCTCAAATATGGCAGGGGAGTTTTCGAGAATATTCAAAAAATTTTAAAATGGTTAAACATCAAAAGATTGACGTTTCCGAGGGCCAGAAAATTTTGATAGTAATCGCATAAGCAGATGAGCTTCCCACAACTCGTCTTTGAACTGAACCCAAAATCACAAATACTGCAGGATAGTTTTCGAGAATATTCAAAAAGTTTGAAAAATGGTCAAAATCAAAAATTTACTATTCCGAGGTCCATTACCTTATGTGTAAAAAGTGTTGTGCGTACCCACTTCCGCAGGGGAGCATTTAAAAACGATTGTAATGGCCCTTCTTATTGTAATGGCAGTTCTAATGATTGAATCCAAAAACTCAACTTTTTTGAGAGGGGTAGTTGTCAAATATTACCCCATAGACTTTTTCGAAGGCTGCAGACAGAGTGATAAAGTGAAAAGAGACTCTAGGGGAATAAACAGGCCGACAGGTGGAGTTCGCGCTCTTTTTCAATTAAAACCTCTTTTTGAAAATCCGTATAAATTTCGGAGAAAAACGAACAATAGGTCATTGAGCGGATAAAAAAGGCCGAAATAATTTGGACCGAAGAATTTTTTTAAGCGACACAAACAAAAACAAAGAAGGAAATACGAAGTCAAGGTAAGTTAAATTACAAATTGTAGGAGTAAACCAAACACTAAAAGCATTATTAAAAAAATTCACACAGCAAAAAAAAAACGATTTCAAGATGTGACAAATAAGCCGACAACAGATAAGCAGACAAATAATTGGCCGACAATTTTTATTTGAAACAGAAAATTTCCCGTTTAAAAAACAGGTTTTGCTCAGATTCGAACCCAAGACCTTTTCATTCCCAGGCACAATCGTTACCTCCAGGCTAAGTCGGCCGGGAACGCTAGAAGTTTGAACTCATTATGAATCAAGATACAAATGATTACAGTGATTCTGTTAAACAAGTTGTTAACCCGAAAAAAAACTCTATTCCGGTTTGATAACGCTGGCTAAACGCAAGAGTAATTACTCTAAACAACAATCAACACAACTGTTATCTATCTATGAGTTGATCGCTTGCTTATCTCTTTTTTTTTCAAAAACGAATGTGTTCACAACATGTTAGTTTGTTCGCCGTGCCAAGTTTCATTGCATTATGATAAGGTTTAAATCTTTCTTTTTCAAAACTGAATTTCGGACTTGCGTGGGGAGAGTTAGATGAGCGGAAAAACAGCTGCTTTCTTCCATTCTGTTTTTGCGGTGACTCCTATCATCAACCCTACTTCCGATTTTAACATCACACACAGGCGATCTTTTCCACTCACTCACGGAAGTTTAAAAATTCCCAAACACTAGCAACAAACAATCCAGAGAACAGATGATATGAAATGTCCAATGGTACAGATCGTGATTATAGCAAAAGTGCTACCAAATAGGTGAACTTTTTTGATGAACACTTTTGTTTGCGAGTTGAGTTTGGGAAAAAACGTTTTGCAAGCTCGCTAGAGTAAACAAAAAAATGAACTGAAAATAAAGACAACAAAAGTCAAACCACGAAAAGTAAATTTGGGCCTGAACAAATTCTAAAAATTTGATGCTGAAAAAAAGTCATCGCGCGACCTATATAAGAGACTGAACTACGTTCATTGACTCTATCATCCTCAATAGTAGAAAAATAAAACCAAGTTACCATCTTAAAAATCCTGAATAATCTGGATAGAGCTTCTGTAATATTTGCTATGATAGTAACGAAATTATTTACGTAGCCAACATAAAGTTGCTAAAAAATAAATGGTTTCAAGGAAACGGAAGGAATCATTGGCTAATTCTTGGACGTTTTTCAATTTAAGAGTAAAAATATGAAGCTCTTTAAATTTTAGGAACCTTTTATTATTGATACTTTTTTCATAAAACTAACCCAATGTGAGAAAACGGGTCCAATAAAATACTTTTTTATTTTGCCGGTTATCTAAAAATTAGAATCCACTTTAGAAGCTGAAAAAATCGTTCAAATTTTGTTGCCCTCCTTTTAGGAACTTATGAACTCAAGCTAAAAACAGATACATTAACAAAGAGGACTTTTTCATTACCCGAACAAGAAGTCGATCACGTTTTTCGTGACCTTTAAACTTTTGCTGTTCGATATTGTAGCTTGCCTACTTTTTAAAAAAAGAAGTGAAGTGCACTTGAAAAAGTTCAAAGTTCAAACCGCAAAACAAAAACCAAATGTGAGCGTGAACACAGTTTAAAAATTTTTCCTGAAAAGAAAAACCAACAAGACCTAAATAAGAGTACTCACTAAAATCATACCCTTACTAAACTTTTCATAAAACTATAAGGATACTAGACAAATGTGTCAGAAAAAAAAATTTTTTCAATTTTTTTTTCAAAATCTTTTTTTTGCGACGCTAAAAGTCATCACAGTAAATTACATGGTTTAAGAAATTAAACAGAGCCGAAGCAATCTCGAGATTTGAAGACTCACGCCCTGCTCTCACGGCCATGAACGCTAAACAGTCTTCAACACAGAAGCGAAGCTGTGCTTCGCAAACACTTGCGAGAACACGACCAAAAAGCAGCTCTATCAAGTGAAATAAGAAAAAGTAGAAATAAGTCTCGAATTAACTAAAACTCGGCTTCGTGTAGGATTCGAATCTACAACCAACTGCAATCAAGAGATTTTGAGTCTCACGCACTATCCACTCAGCCAAGCAAGCTTAACAACCGACAAACACTAATCACGATTAAAGCAGCTACGCGATGCTATTCACCAAAAGTGGTACCAAATACAAAAACACATTTTTGCAAGTAATAACTTGTAATATAATAAACTGAAGGCTTCCACATTAACTTTACGCATAAAGCCACATTATGTATTAATTATGATTTTCAACAAAATGCGAGATATAATGAGTTAGGCAATTTTTGAAAGCGCGTTATTATGATTGTTGTTGTTTGAAACAAATAGCTTTTTTTTTCGGTTCATTTAATTAATTAAAAAAGCAGTAACTGTGTTAAACTATCAATTTTCGAATGCCAAAGCACATGCAAAAGCCGTAAAAATGCCGCCAAAAGTGGCACCAACCTTTGCAACTTAGGTAGAGTAGTTTTCAATGCAAAAAAAAATCCACAACGGTCACGAAAATAGTCAAATTTGACTTTTCCGAGCGCTACAGCCTTTTCTTGATTGATAAATAAGGGATTACAAGCTTATGCAGCGAAGAAATTCACAGTATTTTTATTCCCATTGCAGCAATAATACGAGAATTGGCAGGATAGTTTTCGAGAAAAGTCGGAGCTTCCAAAAAAAAACGGTCCAATGTTAAAAAACTTGACTATTCCGACGAAAAAAATTTTTCAGAGAAAATTTAGGACAATATCCGCTTATACAGGTTCCCTTACCAAATTCCATTTTTTCAATTCAAAACAAACTCTGAGCTTTGGGAGAGTAATTTTCGAGAAAAGTCGAAAAGTTTCAAAAAAACTGCCAGAACATCAAAAAATTGAAGTTTCCGTAGTGTTTAGTGTAAAAAATTTGGTTACAGCCGCTTCTGCAGGGTAGCTTCTCACAACCCTACATTTTGATTGAAATCAAAACCCAGATTCGGGAGAGCAGTTTCCGAGAAGAGTCAAAAGTTTGAAAAAACGTTCAAATAATTTCAAAAAAAAACTGTTGAGGGTCGTAACTTTTTGTGTAAAAAAATTTGGGCGTAGCCTCTCATGCAGGCGGGTTGCAAGTCAAAAAAAGTATATGGCCGTGGTTGTGATTCGAACCTGTACCTGTTGGATGAGAGAGAGACTGCTGGAAAGAGGGCCGATCCCCCCTGGCCACCTGCACTAGCAGCCAGTTGATCCACACTGTGTGTTCTTCGCATCATCCCCTCCTCTATCTCCAGTGCCCCCCTCCACTCAGCCCCGTCCCCCCCACTCCCCATCCTGCCTCTTCGCAGACCAATCCTGGAAGTCAAAAAGGAAGAAATATACGAACAAAACGAAATCAACATCATCCCATGCACCATCTTGATAAATTATATCAAATAGAACATTTCAACTCAAACGATCAAATTTTAACTCAGAGAAAGGAAAATCTACGCATCAAATGAGTAGATTGCATTATTAGCAAAAGTTAGGTCAAACATGTTGATCTTTAATCGACTTTTGTGATTTTTGAGTAATAGTTATATCAACATTACCTAAATGCTCACTAATAACTAACCGGATTAGACACTACCTAATGTCATAACTTTATTTATGGAGTCATAAGGCTGATATCATTTGACATGCACTAACATAATATGTTGGTGTTAACGGAAATCGTTAAACAAATGTGATTGTATCCACCACCCCAAAAAAGCACCTGTCCCAATTCGGTATTCGCTTAATTGCTCCACAAAATCATAATGCGTTTAACTTGTTTGTTTTGCTCATTGTTAAACTCAGTGTTCAGAGAGAGCTTTCACTGTTGTGTCTGTGTTAATTGGTTGAAAAGAGAGAGACGAACCTGTCTGCCCTCTCTCTCTCCTTGTGTTTGTGCAGCTGGTGTTGGAGGGAGACACAAGTGGCCTGCAGCTGTTCCCACTGCACATGCAACTCCTCACTCTCCCGCCTCTCCATCTCTAACTGGCGCTTCAGTCCCTCCTTCTCACGCTCCAACTAAACAACACACACCACAATACAAATAAACAACACAAAACACAAATAAATAACTCAAAACAAAATTAAAACACACAAAACACTTCTTCAATTCCACAAAACCGCTTTCTAGTTTACCAATGAAATATTAATCGCTTGTACCAAAGATGACGTAAATGCATATTGAAGCTTTAATAGTTGGCCATGTAATACTTGAGTTATCTATTGTGCGCGGAACTAGTGCAGTTTGCTGTCAATGTTGGATTACTTTCATTTAAAACGAATAACCCTTTAAGGCATTTAAGGCTTCCCAGTCTGGTTTTATAACGAAGTTGAGTATCGGGCGCAAGTTCCTGTCCTACCTCGTGACAGCGGCGATTGTCCTGGGACTTTCTGTAGTTTTCTCCTATACAGCGGCGTGTCTTCTTCGACTTCAATGTTGTTTCCCTGGTTCAAGATCGCGACTATATCTTTCTTGATCATCTCATGGCTTGCTTCAAGTTGTGCTTCCTGTTGTCTGCTGATTGTATTTCTTGTCATTGTTGGTGGTTCTTTGTTCGGAAGTGGCCCCTTCTGCCTCTATTGTGTTGGGTCCACGCGGCTCACGCAGTATTCGTAAACTTCGTGCACTTCCATTGACAACTCGGTCTTTGTGATCGTTTCCCGGATCACATTGGGCCATTCTGTTTGAGTTTTTATTGTGGTTGACAGTTTTTCAGCTTATGAGGCACATTCGTGTATTACCTTTTCTGCGTCTAGTTTATTAGAGTCTGCTTTTCAGTTAGTGCCGTGTCGTCACTGAAAACGATTTTCGGGAAGAATGTTTACTTTTTGGATGAGCAAGTTAACAGTTCTCTTGCGTCCTTGGCCTCCGATTGCGGGGATGCTGTTGTCCTGCTGGTGTCCGTACTTGGTATCCATTTTTCGTATGTGTTAGTCGTGGTCCTCCTAAGATGCCAGCGCGGGTCTGACACTTTCCTCGCCGTCTGATTCGCCTTGCCACTTATTGTCTGTTTAGTTCTCTGCTCCGATTATTGAATTGATCATATGGGATAAAACCACTCTTGAATTCTTCGTAAATATTTCGTCTCCTCGTGTTTTAAATTTCCAATTTCTGGATTAAACTGACGAATTTCGAACTGTTTTTTTTGTGTTGATTTTCGACTATGTGTTTTGTAGTTTTTTTGAATTTATGGATAGTTTGAAATGTACTTGATATCTTGTTTGGCTTGTTGGTGTTCTTTCATTTTCCGCGTGCTTTTTGATCATACGACAAGTCTTCAACAACGCCAATAAACAAGTTAACTGACGCCAATAAACAAGTTTATTGACGCCACCACAAATGCTTCATCGAACGCGCTTGGGAGTATCGCCAATTTAACTGGATTTCGCGACATGTATTCTATTAGGCCCATTTTGTTTCACGCCGAAAATGTAATGTCTAAGTTAAAGGGGACTAATCAGTCGATCCATCTTGTTAGCCTACTCTGACTAGTTTTTGATCTTTCGCTTGCCTTTAATGCAGTGATTAAAGCTAGATGATCTGTGGTGACGATAACATTTTTTCCGTTTAAGTAAGATTTAAAAAATTCTACCCCCAGCAATTTGAGTTCGTTTACCGAGTATTATAACAATAAACAATTTTAAAAACCGTGATTGCTGGACAAACTTCCCTGGTGTGTTGCTCGGGTGTCGCCCCTAGGCTGAAATTTGATGCGTCACCAACGCCGCGGATTTCTAGGTTTTGGTAAAAAAATGTTTATTTTGGGTGATTTCTGATTCTAGTTTTAGGACAGTTGAATGCTACGTTATGTTCTGTTTCCCAATCAAGTGTTTTAATTTTACCTTTGTTTTTAGAAGTGGGCGCAGAGCAGCAGCAGTTTGACTTAAAGCTAAGTCTGAGATGTAACGAGTGAGCTGGTCTGTTGGACCCCTCAAATTTTTTAATGGCTTGAACGTTTTAGGAGGAGCATATTATTCTATTGCCTGTTTTCCTGATGAGTGGTTTAGTACCCTCACTATTTATGTAGTAACCATTCAACCTGTTCACACGCAAACTTACATTTGTCAAGCGAGATTACAAGGTTTTCTTCGTCTAGTCTTTGTAAGACAGTGTAAAGTTTTTCTTTATAGAGCTCTAGTGACCGTTTGGTCAATACTTATATGTCGCCTAAGTAGGCGTACGTGTTTTTGCAGTTCGTTAGTGTCAGGTCTATTGCTTTCTGAAATTCTGCAGGCATATCCGTTTAGCTGCAGAAGCCCGCCTGGAATTGATAAGTCCCAGTGGCGCTGCCTCCGGTGAGGCTAAAATTGCATTTCTTTAGCTTGATTATCCAACTGGATTTTTTGCGAGTATGCGCAATGTTGTCTAATAGAAGGTCGATGTTGGCATCTAATATTTGTTCTTGTGAATAAAATTGTTAATCTTCTGAGAAACTAGTGCCAATTTGACTGTTTGATCCTTCTTCACTGTTATAACAATTGGACTGATAAACTGTTTGTCTGATTATTTATTCAGTTTTACGATGAGTTTTCGATTGATTAGTTTGTTCAGTTCTTTCTCGACCCTTTCCTGTAAGTGGGTCGGAAATCGTCGTCCTTTTTGTTTAATTAGAATTGTAGACCTTTATAATGTGCTCGCATCACTTGATGTTTTTTTTTATTTCCCGATCCTTATGCATTGTTGTTTGAAATTTTTATTTTACCCATTGTTTTATTTCGGGATTTGAGTCTTCGGTTTTCTGTATGCTCAACATCTGCTACTGTTTCGATTTTTCTTGTATTAATTTTATAACACTTAGTGATAAGAGGTTTTTTCCTATTATGTTTCCTTTCTGGTCGTCCATTAAAATTAACGGAGCTGACTGTATTGACCATCTCCCGGATTCTATCGCAATAATCAATTTTCCCTTAGGAAGGACGAACACACTATTGTAATGTGCCAGATTTCGTGCTGCCTCCTCCGGTGGGATATTTTTGAATATTGTTGATTTATCGTTTTTTCGTAGATGGTGCGCCGAATGACATTGGACTTCCCGAGTCCGCAATGGCAAACATTGCCTCCGTTTTTATTTTCAGTTTAACTATATGTCCGTTTAAATTTTGCTCGGCTAGCTTTGCCGAACTTTTTATTTCAAAAGCCTCGGATATTGCCATTAACGAGAAACTGTCTTATGGGAATTCTTCTAATCCGTTTGTAGAATTGAAATCAGTGAATGCTACTGGATAATTTTCTTCCGCCTCCTTGGTGTTTTCACTTTTTTCCTGTCATCTTCGTCTCTTTCCTGCAGATAGTTGCTATTTGTAGACCTACACACTTTTGCAATGTCCAAGTTTTGCATACTTCGTACAAATTTATCTTTTAGGTAAGCTGGTCTGAACTGTCTTCCGCACTTGTAGCATTCTTTTTGTTGTCCGTTATTAGGGTTTTAGTATCCCCTCGTATTCTGTGTTCGACACTTTCTTCTTCTTCAGGCTTTCGCCTCATCGGAGCATTCCGTCTCCCCCTGCATCTACTCGTGTGTCGGGCCATATTGGTTGCTGAGTGCTCTTGGTTGCATTTGGTACTGATCTTGGTTGCTGGTGTGTAGACCCTGGCCTCTTCAGCCGATTCCGGGTTTCAGGAACTCACGTGATTTTTATAGGAGCCTTCAATTTTTTACGTTTTGTCACAACGATTGCATTTTAAAAAGGTGCGTTGCCTCAGTGTGTATTCGTTTCATCTGAATTTTCAGTCCACCAACAGATTTGCACAGCTCTCCACAAACATCACACTGAAGATTTGCCCTGGGTAATTCAAAAATCCTGTTTTCCACCTTTTCGTCCTCGTTGAAAAAAAAATGCCATTTGGAGTTCTCTTTTTTCCAAATGTTCAATCCGCTAGGTTATCCATTTTTTCAGTCCATTGCTGTTTTCGTTGCTTCACTCTAGTTTATCCCCGCCTCTTTCATAAGCTTCCTCCAGCTGAAAATAATTGCGCCTGTATCCCGGACGTTTCTTGATATTTTCCAGGCTGTTTAGCCACCCCAATAACGCCACCTTTACTGTTCGTTCATTTTCCATTCTCAGTATGTGGCCTATCCGTTCAAGGGTACGTTACTCTATTTTCCACCTTATAGATTTGATATCGAACAAGTTGCGGATGTCCTGGATGTTTACTCCCTCAGCCTGCATTTGTTATAAAATTGGTGCTTCTTTGTTGCTCCAGAGGTAGCTGTTTCTTTTGTCAAGATTGTAAGCTCTAACTTAGCTATTATACCAGGGACGAGTAGCGCGATTTGGGGCGTCTCATTTTTCCTCTCCTAGTTTCTGATTTCCCTTCGTCAAAGTCTTTTATCATGATTGCTTGTTGTGCTGGGTTTTCATGACCGTTTCTGCCCTTTTTTTCCAATGCTGAACGCTGTCCGGGATAGAGACAAAGACTTTTGTTTTGGTCCTCTTTATTCGGGAGTTCGTTTGACATCTTGGGGTCCCGCGCGGGGCCGACGCAGGTTGTTAATCTCCTCGTCTTACCCTCCGACGTCTCCTGGTCGTGGTGGGGCCAGGGAGCTGGATCCCTTCTTTTCCTTGTCTTTTTTCTGTTTGTTTCTTTCGGCTCCTGCTCGGGGGTGTCGCGGGAATGATTTACCCTCGTCTTAACCTCCAGAAACTCTCTGCCGGGATTGAGCAGATCAGCACTACTGCATCTTGAACACTCAAAAGCATAACTGTTGGCTGCAGCTAAGTGTTGGATATCTTAGTGTGATAGGCCGCTGCATCCTTGATGTATCCATTGTTCACACCATTGCATTTTACTATTTTACTTGTTACTCTTTTGTTGCATACTCCGCAAAGCGTCGGCCCTGGATTTTGTTCCACGTCTCCAGTCCTCAAAATTTGCTGACCCAGATGGGCGAGTCCCGAGTCAGCAACGAAAAACCCGACCACTTTCGAAGCTGGGGAGGTTCTCGCCATAAATTTGTAGTAAGTTGCTCCGACTGGTTGGTTCTTCACCATTCTGTTGGCCTCTGGGGATTTGAGTTCTCGCCGTTCCCGGTTCGTACCCCTACGTTACAAAGACCCTTGTATGTCTTTGGCCGCACAGAGGTGAACCGTGTGTTCCCGCTTGCCCCACTCGGAGGGTACACACGAGCAAGCCGTGCGACATTTTGTCGTCGTATGAATCCGCGTCGTTGATCATTTTGGTGGTGAAATTGTCCGTCTTGTCCTCGAGTTGTATGTACCCATCGGTTTTTGTTTCGTTGTTGATGTTATAGGTGTTCTGAACGGGTTCATTTTCATAGTTCTGATGAGATCTATTCCAGTTTCTCGTCAAATGACATACTCATATGCATCTTGTGAGCTTCATGTTTCGGCCACCAATTCCTCTGCTATTTTTTCACTGTTCATGTTCGCTGTTAACATATCACTGACCAACTCGTCTTCCCTGTCTGCTCGTGACGAAAGTTCCACCAAATCCGCGTGGAACTGTTCAATTGATTCGTTCTTCTTTTGTTTTCTAAAATGAAGTTGTACCTCTCGAACGCGATGATTCGGGTAGTGATAAAGATATCTTTTAGAATTGTCATTAGTTCTCTCGTCGATGCTGCCTGTATGTCTAAGCTCGGATTCCTTTGTTGCACTTGGCGAAAGCCTTCTGCGCCTGAGCATAAGAAGAGGTAAAAGCGTACTTTTGGGTCCGCTTCATCCCACGGGAATGAGTTGCACAATACACTTTTTTTTCGTGCATTTAGAAAGTTTCTGACTTCGATGCCGTCCTTCGCAAATACTGCCATTTCTAATCTGGCCGCCCACTTTGACTATTCTAGTGGCGGATCTTTGGTACAAGGTCAAGTACAAGGTCAACTGACCCACATAATTTACTCAGCGCAGTGAGTCTATAAAGATGAATATAAATATAAATACTCGATATAACTATGTTTGCAAATCCGTGCGAGATGACACACCCAATAAGTCCCAGTAAAAAAAAATAAAAAATGAATTAAAATCATATCAAATAATGAATCTTAATTGTTTGTATCCAGGAGCTGCAAGCAGCCAGCAGAATAGAGGAGACGGAAATAGATTGTTTCGCGATTGAACTAGTGTAAAAGAAGGTACAAGTTGAGTTGACACAACTGAATGGGCATAAGTTTGAGAGGCAGGACATATGTGTTTTACCTGCAGTGTGTGCTGTTCAGTCTGTTCACACAGGAGTTGTCTGTTGTGAGTGTGCTGTTCCTGCTCTGCCCTCAACTGACTCAATTCAACTCTCATTGCCCTCATTTCACTCTCCCTCTCACTCAACTCACTCGCACACACAGACAGCTGTCGCTCCAGCTCACTGTTCCTATACAACACAACACAGACTTACACAAAGAGAGCAGCAGAAAACACACAGACCGAATCAATCAAAAAGAACTTTCATTCAACTAAATTAAGTTAGTGTTAAAAAATGTAATAGAACTTTTGGACTTCAGATTACATTGAGGTTCGTTAGTGGAACGACTGGAAAGTAGTTTCGTTAAAACATTCAAAACAAAATACCCAGACAGAAAAAGAACCAAATTCCACATCGTAATTTCAGGTTCTTCAAAGCAAGCTTACACACAGGGTTTGCTATTTACAGACTTCAAAAAAACTAACAGTTGTAAACGTTAAGCCTTTAAGCCGAAGCGAAACTAGATCGGTAAAATGTACATTAAGAAACACCATCTACAAAAACTTCATAAGTTTGCCTTGAATCACATTCAATTTGAGAAACCCAATCCAAAAACACAAACGACAGCGTTGAATTCACATTCAAAAAAAAACGTTGAGCGCCAACTAAGCCGACAAAACTCGAGTAGACAATCGATGAACCGAAACAAAATTACCATAAAATATTTTGATCTACTTATTTTTGCAACTAGAAGATCCCCCTCCCAAAAAAACACAAAGCATAAAAATCATTTTTGCCCTTAAAACGACGCAGCACGAAGTGATTAAGCCAATATCACATTTACCAGAAACATGGGAGCCGAACAAAATTTTGACCAAAACAAACGGGAAAAAGAAAGGAAAACAAAGAAATCATACAAAATCAGAGGTGACAATTTTACAATTTACTACAGAAACAAATCTTCAACCTGCTTCAACCAGAAGAAAACTGCATGATTTGGAAAGTAAACTGACAAAAAAGCTTCTCAAATTTGTCCCAAAAATTAATAAAAACAAGGATAGCCGATTACTGTGCAAGTAGCACATATTGTTGCGACCAGTCTTATAAAACACTATTTTTTTTTCAAATTAAGGTCGTTTTTTTTCGAGATGGTGTGATAAAAGGAGCTGAATTCGACATTCATAGAAAAATCAGCAAACTCAAAAACAGTTTTTTTTAGAAAAATGACTAGAAAAACGAAAAAATATATATCAAAAAAAATTCAAAAATTTCTTCCAATTTTGCAGTTTTTGAGTTTTTTCATTTTTTGGTTCCAAAAAAAGTAAAAACTACTGCAAAAAATCTACCATTAATCAAGCAAAACTGTTCTTTTAATTCATTAAATAGCTATAGCATCCGTTGCCTCATAACAAAGTGGGTTTTTTGAACAAATTTTATTGGATTACTCATGAAGGCAACAGTAAAATGTTAAAAAAACTTTAAAAATGTTTAAAAAACACAAAAAGTGACTTTGATTGACGTTCGACAAAAAAGTGACAAAAATGACTAGTCACTTAAAAAGTGACCAAATGGTCACCCTGGTTTGTGGGAGCTGATTTTGCGTGGAAAACAAAAAAAAGCAGAAAAAAAACAATAACACACCTGAATACAAAGTTCTCCCTTTTTTTCAAATGGTCAACCCATAACCTTGGTTGTCCCAAGCACGAAAGTTACTTCCTTAATAAGCTGGCCGATTGGCTACTTCAAATTTGACATACTATAGTGAGTCGAGCAAAAGAGTCAGTGATTTTGGTAAAATTAAATTGAACATATGACAAATTCAAAAATTTTACGAGTGTGGCACAACACCAGCCCAAGTTTTGCTGCTGTTTTTCATGGCGCTGATATCAGACATCACTTTTTACAATCCATTCCGCATTTCAAAAGCTTACCTTTGATTTGACATAAGCTTCTAAGATTTAAAAACATCAAAGTGAAAATCTTTGAGAATACCGTTGCTAAAAATTAAAAAAAAAATACAGTAACTCAGGAATGTTGAAAAAGAGGTAAGCGAAGAGTGGCTTCGCATACTCAATTACTTTACGCGAGACGAAAGAATCAGCATTAAATTATTATACAGAACCAAGTGGTTAAAATTAAGGCAAGAATCTTTCGAAGCTTCAAACTTGATGAAAAATAACTCAAAAGACAACAATGTCCCTGACATTGTCACCAAAATTGAAATCATCATTTATTACAAAAACATTCAATATCAGAGAAAATCAGTATCAAGAATCAATGCACTTTGATTTAAGGCGCAAAAAAAACAACTTTGGAAGGACATGTTAAATTCTGATGCTCTTCTATCAAGTGGATCCGAATAAACAGACTCTTGTTTTCTGGTGAGTGACTTGAATTGGAGGGAAGACATGGAATAGACTAGACTGACCTGTCTAAGAGACTCTTGCCAATGAGGGCTGCCATATGAAGAGAGTCTTCGTAAGTGCTGTCCAGAGAAGACTCGCTCTCGTATCCCTCACACACTTCATGTGAATGATCCAACTCATTAGTTTCAGTTTCCCCTTCCCCTCCCCCTCCTTCTGTCTCCCATCTGTTGTCGAACGAGTTCCATCTTTCCTCGCCTAATAATAGTAACTGATTCAAATGATGGAGACGACAAAATTTCTCCCTAGATTTCACTTCATGACGTTGATTGTAAAACGTCGTCACATGTCGGCTCCTTGTGTGTGAACACTTTCACAACTTGAGTGAAAAAATACCGACAACAACGATTCAGTCGACTGCACAATTTAGTTTAACAGCTAAACTTTCCATAAATCCAAATTCAGATTGACGGCAACTACGTTTATAAGAAATCACCGTCTTAGTAAGAATTAAGAGCCGACTCCCTCTCCTTGTAAAACAGACTGAGATAATTAAGGGACGACAATCGAAACCTTTTTCCAAAGCTACACAATTTAGTTTCTTATGATGGTAAAATGTACTCGATTGAGATGATTATGTTGAAAATAAAAATAAAAAGATACTACAGGCTGACTTTAGGGCGTTTTTTTAAATATTATGCTGCTTCTGATAAACTCTAATAAAAGCAAATTGATTTCTTTCATTCAATTTGGTTGGAATGACTTAAGTTGCCGCCTAACTGTTTAATAGTACGAAATATATCGCGTGTTAATTATCCTAATTTGAAATATAGTGATGAAGGACCAAACGAATGATCAGATGACTTCGAACCTTCCCAGACCAAAATCCCACTCCAAAACAAGAGAAAAGATGGACGAGATCGCCTAGCTGCTATCTTAAGTGAAGAACTTACGACGGCTTTAAGCGAAACACTATTTGACGCCATACAATTAGCCATCCCAGGAATTATTGACCCCATAGGAAGCAGACTGAAGGAATCTATCGAAGAGATGATCAAGCAAGCGGCGAAGGAGGTGTACACTAGTTTATCAAACGAGTTCAAAAAGCGGCCGACTCAGATCCAGATGGGAATGCACCGTTAATCCTTAATCAGGAACTGAATTATTGCACTTTTGGTATGATGGGGGAGAGAACGTACGAATACATACAATTCTTCAATAATAACAATAATAGACAAATATCCGAACCGAACGCAGCATCTGCTAAAAAAAATCGTTAATGTATCCAGAAGTTTGGAGTGCGGAGAAATGGGAGCGAATGAGCAAACCATTCTCGAACAACAAGTGCACGAGGCCAGCAAAAACTGCATGCAAGCCAGGAAGACTTCGGACAGAGAGAAGACCTAAGAGTGAGTGCCCAAAAAATGCGGCAAAGGATCTAACATTGGGCTTTTTGTTCGGATTGTACGAATGCAAACATTAGGTCATTCATCCTATATGGAATTTTGGCTTATGGCTGCACCAGATTTAATGCCTTATTGCAACTGCTCGGTTTTCGAAAACGTTGTTGCATTAATTGCTTTTCAAAACTCCGGAAATAGTTTATTTTAGGGAAAATTCGGGGAAAATATTAACCGTGCTCGAGTTGCATTATTTATATGAAATATTGAAGCTTCCAGAAAAATTTTAACCATGTAAGGATTATTTAATATGAACACTTGTAGTTTCTACAGAGATCGATAGCTGGTTCACATGCAGGTATTACTTAAATTGTTTGTTTCTTTTTTTGAAACTCAGTAAAAACGATCAAGAAAGACCTGCAAAACTATTTTGCTCGCAAAAACCAAACTTCAAAGACTTCTCTGGTTGCTCTTTTTTGAATGAATAAGAGGTGCTTCGATAGGTACACGACATGAAATATCTTTACGTTCCAGCAAATGACGAAACTTATCAAGCAGTGAAAACATAGCCAACTGACAGTTGGAAAAGAGTCAGGAAACAGAAAAAAAAATCAGCTTTTGAAGTTCCATGTAAAAAACATATGGCCTTCAAATTACCTGAAATTCTGAAAAAAATTATGCTTGACACTTTTTTGATCAAATTAGCCCAATCGAAAAAAAAAATTGGAGCAATAGATAAAACTTTTGTTTCGCTGGGAAATCTGATAAATAAATTCGACTTTCGAAACTAGAAATCGATCACATTTTTGCTGCCTTTACTTTTTCGCTGTTTGATAGTGTTGTTTGTCTTCCTTTTAACAAAGAAAATAATCTGAACTTAGCTACGAAATCTTAAATCAAATCTCGACAAAGCAGAAATGAGCGTGAACAAAATTTAAGATTTTCTCCTGAAAAAAAATTAACAAACCATCAAGACCAATAAAGAGTTCTCACTACGTTCATTGCTCTTAACAACTAACAGCCACTGTTCTGTATTTTTCAGAGTATCTTTCTTACCATTGGCGGTTATGACTGTGCTGGTGGCGTGATTGTGTCGACGTCGTCCATTTGTTCCATTCAGATCGAATCGGTTGCTGAATGCTCCCACATGTTCCAAACAAGTGCCACTACTGTTGCTTCTGCTGCTGTTCATCTGTTGCTGTTGTTGTTGTTGTAGATCGGCTGAGGACTCTAAGGAAGTTTGGTGTGCTTGGTGAGAATAAACCATTTCACTTGGACTGCTGCTGCTGCTAGAGTGCAGTGACAACAAGTGTGTTTTGCTCTGCTGTCCAACAACTTCAGCTTCTTTGCTGTGGTCCAACAAAACAGACAAGGCATGTTCCATACTCATCTAATACATTCACATTACTGAAAGGGCCAATGCTTAATCACACACACAATTAGAGGATGGAAGAACAAGGTCGGTTAAAACACGTATAAACACAATTTGATACATTTAGAAACTGGATACAGCCAAAAAAAATCTAATATGCGGCAACTAAGCCGACAGAACATAAGCAAACAAATATTAAGCTCTGATGCGAACACAGGACCTTTGCTATCCCAGGCGTATTCGTTACCTCCAGATCAAGTGTGCCAGAGATGGTTGAAAACTTGAACTCAATATGAGCCAAGAGGGCTAGCGATCCTGTAAAACAAGTTAACCCTAAAAAAGACTATATCCCGATATGATAACGCTTGGTAATTTACAATTAGAGAATACCTTTTTATAACACAGTACCTCAGAAGAGTACGATACATTCCTAAAGAAATAAGCGAAGAGTGGCTCAGCGTCAATTATTAGCCAGGAAGGAAACTAGTTATATTTTGAGTATATGTTGTCTGCTTGTCTGTGGTGCGGTGCAAAGATATAACTCTGCCAAAATCAAATTAGAGGTAAAACACTTCCAGTTAGAGAACAAAGCCAACAGAAAAAAAGATGACCTTAAATCTTTGAACTTCTACAACAATTTAAGGTTGGAGCTTTGAAAAAAAAAACATAGCCAATCGAAGATTCGAAAAGAGTAATAAAGGCAAATCAACATTCAAAAATTTGACTTTGTTGAAAAAAATCTCAACTTTCGAATTTCAATGAAACAAATAGATGCCCTTTAAGCTCTTCGAATTTCTAGAACAATTTATGATTGGCATTTTTCTGATAACATCAAACCAACTTGAGAAAACTAGATGAATAGGTAAAATTGTCAATCCTCTGGAAAACTAAACTTTAAATTCCACTTTTGAAACTAGAAATTATTCTTTTTTTTTTTCGCGCCATTTCCACGTTCGTATTTGGAGTAAGCTATTTACGTCACTTTCAGCAGATGAATTTCTATTAAACTCAAAAAGTGCATATATACTTAAGTGCATTCATTTATGCAAGAATGTATCTGAATGCACATCTGTAGTTATTTTTAAGACTTCTGGAAAAAAATACAAAAAAAACAGCAAGACCTATATAAGAGTCTTCACTACGTTCATTACTCTTAATTAACCCGATTCGAAAAACTGTATCAATTGGTTTCAATTTCCACCCCCAGTTGATTCTTTTCGAAAACTCACTTCACAAATGTTTAAATTTAAATTCAAGAATCTAATCCGCAATAACAAGTGTCAGCGTGCACAACTGAATAGTTTGCTACAACAATTTTCACATGCAAATTGCCGCATGAACATTTTCTCCATTGATATTTTCACCAAATTGTAATTTCTCGAGGGGGTGGGAAACTGGAAAAAAAGCCCAGTTGGAATAACTTCTTTCAAAAATCTGAAAACTGAAATCCATTTTCGAACCTAGATGTCGATCGCGCAAAATCAAACTTGAGCCTGAAGAAATTATGAGACTTTTCCCAAAAATAGATAAACATAGCCAATTGACAATTGAACAAGAGTAAGGAAGGCAAGAAAGCAAAAATTCCACGATAATTTATGATTGACACTTTTTTGATTAAAATAAACCAACTTGAAAAACTGGATCAAAAGGCAAGTTTTTTTTAATCCGCTGGGAAATCTATATAATGAATTACACTTTGGAAACTGGCAGTCTTTCAAGTTTTTCTTGACCTTTACACTTTTGCTGTTCGTGAGTGGAGTTTGCTTAGTACCTTAAAAAGAAATCAGGTCAAACCACGAAAAATCAAAATTGAACGCGAACAAAAAACAAACAAAAAAAAAAAACAGAAAACATCACCAAGACTATATAATAGTACTCACTGCGTTCATCACTCTCAAGAAAACATGACGACCTGTACAAGAATGTTCACTGCGATGATGTTCAATGTTCAATGACAATTTTGAAAACCAAAAAACACTCTGAAATGTCTACTTCGTTCACTGAAACGTGAACACACGGCTCTTTTCCCGTTTCCCACCCCCGTAAAAATAGAAAAAATGTTCACCTGTTCACGCTGACACTTTTTGATGCAGTATGTAACAACAACAGTGGGAGGGGAACTGGAAAAAAGCCAGACATTCAATAGCAAGACTCAACTTCATTCAGTGCATGAAAGAACTGCAATTTCAAACGCATATTTTTGTGGCGAAAATCGAACAGCCTTGAGAAAATAAATTTGCAGCAGCTCATGTTCAATTATCAATCATAACAAAAAGATAAGATAGGGCATACATGGCAAAAAAACTATTTGTCATTTACAAGTTAGCTTCAGTTCATTTTCATATATTTCAAGTAGACAAACAAAACAACAGATACTTACTACATAGACACATACGTCAGTTACATTATAGCACGCAAAATGAGGTCTTTTTTTATGTAGCCCAAAAATTATCAGATATCAAATATTTTCAAAGTTGGCAAGCAGTTAAAATCAGAAAAGAACACTTGAATTTAGAGATGTGTAATTGCTAGTAATCCGAATTCAATTCAGTATTGATGACAATGATTAATGCTTTCTTTTCCAATAATCACCCGAAGTGAACTGTTCAACATAAACAACTTCAATCACCAGTTCTTAGTTGTTATTTCTATTCTCTCAGTTGCATTCATCCACTGTAAACATCATCCAATATTTGCACTTAAATAGTTCCATTTTGACCGATTGCTGTTTTCGTCTGCCTTAAACTTCACTTTGTAAAAGTTGCTCCCATGTTCTCTGATGGGTAGATAGCTTCTCCATCTTCTGTATTTTCTCTTTAAGCAGAGTTGACTTTTTACACGCTTTGGTATTTGTGTTAATTGTTTAGATGTGTTTTTTTTTCCTTTGAGAAATAACTGGTCACCAAGCGGCCGAAAAAAAAACAGAGCCAACAGACAGTTGGAAGAGTAAAAAATAGATGGCCTTAAAGCTCTTTAAATAACTAGAACAATTAATGATAGACACTGTTTTCATCAAATTAACCCAATTTGAGAAAACTGGATCAATAGTTATTCTTTTATATTTTACTGGGAAATCTGATAATTAATTTCCATTTTCAAAATTAGAAGTCGCTCACGTTTTTCGTGACCTTTACATTTTTTCTGTCCGACATTGTAGTTTGCATTCCTTTTAACAATGGAAATGCACTGCACTTAAAAAAAATTACATGTCAAACTGCAAAAACGTAAATTTTAGCCTGAACAAATTTTAAGACGTTTCCTGAAAAAATGCGAAACTAAATTCGAATATCGAAACTAGAAATTGTTCGTTTTTTGACCATTTGCTCTATCATAATTAGATAGCGTATTTCAGCAATGCAATGGTACAGTGCGTTATTTAACTTGACTTTTAAAAATATATATTTTTTCGTATTAGCCCCCTGACGTTGAAAACTAGTTGTTAAAAGGTGGCGTAAAATGTTTTAATAACTATGGTTAGCGTTATTTAACAAGTCAACCATGCGTGTGTCACTGTGTCTGTATGTTTAAGTCTAGTACATGTGTGTGTGTGTGCCTATCCCTTGAGAGAAGACATGCCGGCCTTCATGACTTCATCCACTAAGAGTAGATTGGAGGCTATCACAGTGGAGGAGTGAATGAGTTGTCTCTTCACACAATAGTTGTCCAGCACTCCCCCCTCCACCGGGTCCATACTAGCCCCACTCTTCAGATCCAACCCCACCCACTTACCACACCCACTCTAAACACACAACACCACAAACATATTCAATGCATTAAGGTCTATTCAAATCAAGATTTAGCTAAGAAAAAAACGTAATTGAATAATAGAAATAACAAAAACTCAACAAAAACAAAAACTGAAACGAATCGACAAAATGAGCAATACATTTCAGTTGAGCTAACAAAAACTCGGAGAAATCATAGAAAATCATCAATGTAATCAGCAAAACCTATGCAATGAAAACACAGCCAACTTACAGTTGGAAAAGAGTAATGAACGCAAGGAAACTGAAAAAAAACCGACTCATTTTTTGATTTCGGAGAAAAAATTAGATGGACTTAAAGCTCTTTGAATTTGAGAACAATTTATGGTGGACACTTTTTGTTAAAATTAACCCAACTTGAGAAAACTGAATCAATAGGTAAAATTGTCATTCCGCTGGAAATCTAAATATTAAATTCCTTTTCCGAAACTAGAAATTATTCTTAATTTTTCTCGCCATTTCCACGTTCGTACTTAGAGAGTGATATTTAGCTCGAACCTGTATATAGGTTGAACTCAAAAAGTGTTGCAAAATCGCTTTAAAATTGTGGGTTTTCAACGGTAAAGCAAAACTGTAATTGATGAAAAATGGCAAAAAGGCGTCTTAAATCTACAAAAAAAAGAATCAGCCTAAAAAAGAACATAGCCGACAGACATTTGGAAAATTGTCAATTAACGCAAGTACACAGAGAAGAACACTTGTTTTTTTAACACTCTCAACTTTCGAAGAAAAAATCAGATGGTATTCAAGCTTTTTGAATTACAGAACTCAAAGAGTGTTGCAAAATCGCTTTAAAATTATGGGTTTTCAACGGTAAAGCGAAACTGTAATTGATGAAAAATGGCAAAAAGGCGTCTTCAATCTGCGAAAAAAAAGGAGAATCAGCCTAAAAAAGAACATAGCCGACAGACATTTGGAAAATTGTCAATTAACGCAAGTACACAGAGAAGAACACTTGTTTTTTTAACACTCTCAACTTTCGAAGAAAAAATCAGATGGTATTCAAGCTTTTTGAATTACAGAACTCAAAGAGTGTTGCAAAATCGCTTTAAAATTATGGGTTTTCAACGGTAAAGCGAAACTGTAATTGATGAAAAATGGCAAAAAGGCGTCTTAAATCTACGAAAAAAAGGAGAATCAGCCTAAAAAAGAATATAGCCGACAGACATTTGGAAAATTGTCAATTAACGCAAGTACAAAAAGAAGAACACTTGTTTTTTTAACACTCTCAACTTTCGAAGACGAAATCAGATGGTATTCAAGCTTTTTGAATTACAGAACTCAAAAAATGTTGCAAAATCGCTTTAAAATCATGGGTTTTCAACGGTAAAGCAAAACTGTAATTGATGAAAAATGGCAAAAAGGCGTCTTAAATCTACGGAAAAAAAGAGAATCAGCCTAAAAAAGAACATAGCCGACAGACATTTGAAAAATTGTTAACTAACGCAAGTACAAAGAGAAGAACACTTGTTTTTTTAACACTCTCAACTTTCGAAGAAAAAATCAGATGGTATTCAAGCTTTTTGAATTACAGAACTCAAAGAGTGTTGCAAAATCGCTTTAAAATTATGGGTTTTCAACGGTAAAGCGAAACTGTAATTGATGAAAAATGGCAAAAAGGCGTCTTCAATCTGCGAAAAAAAAGGAGAATCAGCCTAAAAAAGAACATAGCCGACAGACATTTGGAAAATTGTCAATTAACGCAAGTACACAGAGAAGAACACTTGTTTTTTTAACACTCTCAACTTTCGAAGAAAAAATCAGATGGTATTCAAGCTTTTTGAATTACAGAACTCAAAGAGTGTTGCAAAATCGCTTTAAAATTATGGGTTTTCAACGGTAAAGCGAAACTGTAATTGATGAAAAATGGCAAAAAGGCGTCTTAAATCTACGAAAAAAAGGAGAATCAGCCTAAAAAAGAATATAGCCGACAGACATTTGGAAAATTGTCAATTAACGCAAGTACAAAAAGAAGAACACTTGTTTTTTTAACACTCTCAACTTTCGAAGACGAAATCAGATGGTATTCAAGCTTTTTGAATTACAGAACTCAAAAAATGTTGCAAAATCGCTTTAAAATCATGGGTTTTCAACGGTAAAGCAAAACTGTAATTGATGAAAAATGGCAAAAAGGCGTCTTAAATCTACGGAAAAAAAGAGAATCAGCCTAAAAAAGAACATAGCCGACAGACATTTGAAAAATTGTTAACTAACGCAAGTACAAAGAGAAGAACACTTGTTTTTTTAACACTCTCAAATTTCGAAGAAAAAATCAGATGGTATTCAAGCTTTTTGAATTACAGAACTCAAAAAGTTTTGCAAAAACGCTTTAAAATTATGGGTTTTCAAAGGTAAAGCAAAACTGTAATTCATGAAAAATGGCAAAAAGGCGTCTTAAATCTAGGAAAAAAAGGAGAATCAGCCTAAAAAACAATACAGCCGACAGACATTTGGAAAATTGTCAATTAACGCAAGTACACAGAGAAGAACACTTGTTTTTTTAACACTCTCAACTTTCGAAGAAGAACTCAGATGGTATTCTACCTTTTTGAATTACAGAACTCAAAGAGTGTTGCAAAATCGCTTTAAAATTTTGGGTTTTCAACGGTAAAGCAAAACTGTAATTGATAAAAAAAAATGGCAAAAAGGCATCTTAAATCAACGGAAAAAAGGAGACTCAGCCTAAAAAAGAACATAGCCGACAGACAGTTGGCAAATTGTCAACTAACGCAAGTACAAAGAGAAGAACACTTGTTTTTTAACACTCTCAACTTTCGAAGAAAAAATCAGATGGTATTCAAGCTTTTTGAATTACAGAACTCAAAGAGTGTTGCAAAATCGCTTTGAAATTATGGGTTTTCAACGGTAAAGCGAAACTGTAATTGATGAAAAATGGCAAAAAGGCGTCTTAAATCTACGAAAAAAAGGAGAATCAGCCTAAAAAAGAATATAGCCGACAGACATTTGGAAAATTGTCAATTAACGCAAGTACAAAAAGAAGAACACTTGTTTTTTTAAATCTCTCAACTTTCGAAGACGAAATCAGATGGTATTCAAGCTTTTTGAATTACAGAACTCAAAAAATGTTGCAAAATCGCTTTAAAATCATGGGTTTTCAACGGTAAAGCAAAACTGTAATTGATGAAAAATGGCAAAAAGGCGTCTTAAATCTACGGAAAAAAAAGAGAATCAGACTAAAAAAGAACATAGCCGACAGACATTTGAAAAATTGTTAACTAACGCAAGTACAAAGAGAAGAACACTTGTTTTTTTAAAACTCTCAAATTTCGAAGAAAAAATCAGATGGTATTCAAGCTTTTTGAATTACAGAACTCAAAAAGTTTTGCAAAATCGCTTTAAAATTATGGGTTTTCAAAGGTAAAGCAAAACTGTAATTCATGAAAAATGGCAAAAAGGCGTCTTAAATCTAGGAAAAAAAGGAGAATCAGCCTAAAAAAGAATACAGCCGACAGACATTTGGAAAATTGTCAATTAACGCAAGTACACAGAGAAGAACACTTGTTTTTTTAACACTCTCAACTTTCGAAGAAAAAATCAGATGGTATTCAAGCTTTTTGAATTACAGAACTCAAAAAGTGTTGCAAAATCGCTTTAAAATTATGGGTTTTCAACGGTAAAGCAAAACTGTAATTGATGAAAAACGGCAAAAAGGCGTCTTAAATCTACGAAAAAAAGGAGAATCAGCCTAAAAAAGAACATAGCCGACAGACATTTGGAAAATTGACAACTAATGCAAGTACACAGAGAAGAACACTTGTTTTTTAACACTCTCAACTTTCGAAGAAAAAATCAGATGGTACTCAAGCTTTTTGAATAACAGAACTAAAAAAGTGTTGCAAAATCGATTTAAAATTATGGGTTTTCAACGGTAAAGCAAAACTGTAATTGATGAAAAATGGCAAAAAGGCGTCTTAAATCTACGAAAAAAAGAAGAATCAGCCTAAAAAGAACATAGCCGATAGACTTTTGGAAAATTGTCAATTAACGCAAGTACAAAAAGAAGAACACTTGTTTTTTTTAACACTCAACTTTCGAAGAAAAAATCAGATGGTATTCAAGCTTTCTGAATTACAAGAACTATTTATGACTGACTACATTCATCAAATTAACCCATTTTGAGAAACATAGCCAGACTAAAAAAGAACATAGCCGACAGACATTTGAAAAATTGTTAACTAACGCAAGTACAAAAAGAACACTTGTTTTTTTAAAACTCTCAAATTTCGAAGAAGAACTCAGATGGTATTCAACCTTTTTGAATTACAGAACTCAAAGAGTGTTGCAAAATCGCTTTAAAATTTTGGGTTTTCAACGGTAAAGCAAAACTGTAATTGATAAAAAAAAATGGCAAAAAGGCATCTTAAAAAGGCAGCTTTCTGAATTACAAGAACTATTTATGACTGACTACATTCATCAAATTAACCCATTTTGAGAAACCTGGATCAATAGGTATTTTTTATTACTCTGAGAAATCTGATGATTAAAATCTATTTTCGAAATTAGAAGACGGTCATTTTTCGCGTCTTTTCCACCTTTGATGCTCGATAGAGGAGTTTACCTTCCTTTTGACAAGGGGAGAAAACTGACCTTAAACAGAAATCAGAAGAAAAAGTAAATTTGAGTTTGAACAAATTTCAAACTTTAACACGACCTAAGATCATAATATAATTATATCTATTTCAATTCCTAAAATGAACATTTTTAATCGATTTAGATTGCTTTAAAATCAATCCGAAACCATTTTTTGTCAGGCGGGTGAGCTCTGATTGTTAACATAATTTTTCCGCATGCGGTCCTTTGAGCATGAGTGATTCCCCCGCAATGACGTCCTCCCACTTTCGACCACAAATGAAGAGCATCGATAGAACAATTAATTTGAGTCTCAGTTAAAGCCCCTCAAAAGAATAGAGCAGAATTGAAGCAGTGAAGATACTGCAGACCCACCTGGTGACCAAATCAGTGGCTGCCTCTGATGAAGTATGCTTTTGTTGAAACCATTCATAAACATTGCAGGTGTCAATGGAAATAATCTCGAGGATTATCGCATATAACTGTCAATGGCCTACAGTTCAATTTGTTATACGAGGGTGTATAGCTCGTCGCAGCATAGACTTGTTGATGTTCATTTCTTTAGTAGCAATTTCATTGGTTTAACTACTGCCTCTCATAATCCTCCAATTTCACTTACAAGGGTGTATAGCTCGTCGCAGCATCGACTTGTTGATGTTCATTTCTTTAGTAGCAATTTCATTGGTTTAACTACTGCCTCTCATAATCCTCCAATTTCACTTACAAGGGTGTATAGCTCGTCGCAGCATCGACTTGTTGATGTTCATTTCTTTAGTAGCAATTTCATTGGTTTAACTACTGCCTCTCATAATCCTCCAATTTCACTTACAAGGGTGTATAGCTCGTCGCAGCATCGACTTGTTCATGTTCATTTCTTTAGTAGCAATTTCATTGGTTTAACTACTGCCTCTCATAATCCTCCAAGTTGGGAGCTCTAGCGTGTATTGTCATCCAGTCAAAAAACCCACATTTAAAACTGCTTGTGGCAAGCATTCTTGGCCATATCGCTCCTGAGTGAACTTCTTGAATTTAATGAGGTATCCCAATGAACCTTCTTCTGGCTTTCAGGCAATCATGCATTTTAAGCGAGTTGACCGAAACCAAATGAACAGCTTTCGTAGAAAAGCGAATAAATGCTATGACAAAAGTGTACTTTTTTCTTGTCCATCTTTGAAAGCTAAGGGTTCCCGCGAGACAAGGGATTGACTAACTCAACATGAAATTCTCAACCCTGTGATGAAGTGCTGTCAGAGTACACTCAGGGGTGAAAATTTGCCCTCCAAATGACTGCTCAAATGGTTTTTTTATGACGGTTCTAATTATTTTGAGAAAACTGGATCAGGTAACATTTTCATTTCGCTGGTTAAATCTGAAACTTAAACTCCATTTTTGAAATTAGAAGTCGATCACAACTTTTGTGACAATTAACTTTTCGCTGTTCGATAGCGGAGTTTGCCTTCATTTTAACAAGAAAATAAAAAAAACGAAAAAAATCATCGCGATCTATATAAAAATCTGAACAATATTCATTGACTCTCAAAAAAAACTATTCAAAAAAAAACAACACAATACTCACAAGCTCCTTTGTGCAAAAACAAACGAACAAAATGAACGAGCATATAGTTAAAATGAGTGAATTAGTTAACAAATGGTAATAAGAAGTGTAGATAACTAGTGTTGACCTTGTGCTGCTGTAGACTGTCGATTAGTGTGACGATGGACTCCTGCGCATCCAGTCCCGCATTCTGGGCCAGCACTTTGGGGATGATGAGGAGGGCGTCTGCGAATGCCTGAATGCCCAGTTTGGCACGCCCCTGCACCTCCGCCTAAACACACACACACAGCATGTAAACACCTCTAGAGGCCGCACAACATTAGCCAGACGGTAATGGCTAGAGATATGACTATAGAGCCACTACCGCTAGAACCCAGATACAAAACTACATACATATCTTTTTTTGTGCAAATTTCACATGATTGAAAAACGGATCTGGTCTCCGCTCCGCCAAAATTTCAAATTCTCCATTTTAATAGTTATATCATGTGTTATTACGGCTGAATGCGTTGTTGCGATGTAAGGTATGATCAACAGATGTCTTCAAAATAGTTAGTTTGTGTTCACCAAGCAAAATTTCATTGTATTATTACAATGTAAAAAGTGTTCCAAAACTGAAATTCAAATAAGAGGGGAAGTGGAAAAGAGCCCGGCTCCGAACTGGTTCTTACGAACGACAAATAAAAACACAGCCAACAGACAGTTGGAAAGACTCATAAACGCAAGAAAATAGAAAAAATATATACTGTTTTTTTAAAAAAAAACTTCAGCTTTGGAATTTCAAACTTTAAAAAATGGCCTTAAAGCTCTTTGAATTTCAAAAAAACTTTATGACTAGCAGTTTCTGATAAAATTAACCCAATTTGAGAAAACTGGATTATTAGGTAACTTTTTTTATTCCGCTGGGAAACCTGAAAATTAACTTCCACTTTCAAAATTAGAAGTCGATCATGTTTTTCGCGACCTTTTCAGTTTTGATGTTCGATAGTTGAGTTTACCTTCGTTTTAACAAAGAAAATAAAATGAACGTAAAAATAAGTCCAAAGTCAAGCCGTTAAAAAGTAAATCTGAGACTGAACAAATTTTAAGACTTCCTGAAAAAAAAAATACCCCAGACCTGTATAAGAGTCTTCTCTATGTTCATGACTACGTTCAATTATCAGAAAATATTATTGATAAGTTATTTGAAAGGTTGTTTCGATTGTCTGAAGCGGCGCCGATAGTTGCTGCTTTAGATGAATAATACATGTAAGCCAATGTTTATTACAATGCTCCAGTAGAATTAGCACAAGAAGGAACTCATTTAGCTGGCAAGGTTGGTAACTTAAAACACAGAGGTGAAGCTTCGCTTCGCAAACACTAGGGAGAATACGACAAAAAGCAGCTCTAGAAAGTGCAATAAGAAAAGTGCAATACGAAAAATAGGCTCGAATTTGTTAAAATTCTGCAAGGTCTAGGTTTCGATCTGCGACTTTCTGCTATCAAGAGATTTGGAGTCTCACGCACTCACCACTCAGCCCTCGCCGCTCAACCACGCGAGATATATTGGGTTAAAAAAATTTTGAAATCGAGTTTTTATTATTGTATTGATATTTAAAGCAATAGCTTTTTCCAGTTCATTTGAACAATGAGAACTGCATCAACTGTGTTAACTTAATACTATTCGAATGTCAAAGCACCAAAAAGCTGTAAAGTGCCCCAAAATTGTCACCAATATTTGCGACTTGGGTTAGAAAAAAAAGAAGGTTCGTAATAATACACTAAGCTGATGCTAGTGTAATTAAGGTGAAATAGGCCTGTATAATTTGAGACAATCAATCAGTCTATATTGACATTTCAAGCAATCGATGAATCGCCCCCTGCAAACACCGAGCACAATTCCGTAAAACAACAACTTAAGTGGTGTTCAGATTTTGATAGAAGCTTTGACAACATAACTTGCAAAAAGGTTCCCAATACAATTCAATAGATAACTCGCACCATTTTTTCTAATATTTGGAACTGCTTTTTGCAATTAAAATTGTTAAACCATGATCAATTATGATTTCTTTTAAATCTTCTTCAAAATTGTGCTTTGGATGTAGAAGCCGCTCTTTGTATCGACCGCAACCAGGACACACCCTTAGGACCAATAGAAGGGAGGGTGACGAAATGTGGAGAAGTGGTCAAAATGGATGTTTGTTGGATTGTGAAGAGAATATGCACATTGGGCTTTTTATTCTAATTGAACACGCTGTCTCTTTTTCCTAACCCTACCTGCGAATAATGACAAATAATATGTTTTTTCACATAATCCGATTGGTGAAAAAATGAACATGTTACACCATAAACTTGATGCTCGTTCCAGGTCGGTGGGGAAGAGGAAAGAGAGCCGACTCACTATGTTGATACAACTTGCTCTGAATCAATTAATGTGATCTTTCGTTCTTGCACACTTGAATCAAGGCAAAAAGAGTAAATTAGTTCGTTTGTTGATATAATAAGTATATCTGTGCAATGTGTTTGTGTGTATATATATGTACTTGCCTTGTACTGAAGCAGTTTCTGACTGGCGTACACTTCGAATGCACCTGCCCCTGGCAACACACAGTCATCCTGTATGGCATTCTTCACTGCACGCAGACCATCGTGCACTGCATCTTTGATCTACAATGAGGAGAGAAGAGAAGAATATGAACAACGCCAATACACAACACTACTTTATCATCCCAACAAGCCCAAAACAACCCACCAGTTTGAAGGTGAACACTAACGATAAACTAACTTCGAGAGATCGAGTCTCTCAACAAATAACAAGTCAGTGACAACTTCAAGCCAGGGCAACAGCGGGATGAACAAACCAACTGACAAGTTTCAACCCGATCATTTTCATGCGTTAGAGTATAGAAACATTTTTAAATGTTTCTTAAAAAAACGACCCCAAACAGTTGTTTAGAAAGAAATAATTTATGACAATTTTTGGATGCAAGCCATGTATTATAATGCGAAACAGTTGAAAATATGAAATTCTTTTCAACTTCACCTTCAAAATTTCAAAAGGAAGTTAGCCCCAGTGACCCCCCCCCCCCGCCACATTGAAAATTTCCACTTTCGAACGCTTGCTTTTTTATATTGTATGAAGAACAATAAGGTTCGAATTACTTAAAAACTTCGTTGAAAAGTTTTCGAAATTCGAATTGAAATATCGGGCAGTAACGTGGAAAAAGAGTCCACCAATTATATTGCTCTTTTAATTGTAACTTGTTTTGAGGCATAATTTAGCCCAATTACAGACACAGAGGCGAAGTGAAGCTTCAACCGACCTGCGCTACAAGAACTCATTTCACACACATTCAGCGTTTTCCATTTGACAAATTCGGTGATACAAAATCATTTTGAATTTGAAGCTAACAGAAAGTTGGAAAACTGTAAATCAAGTCCAAAAACGGAAAAAAATATTGATAATTCAGTGAGGCGACAATTGCTCACAAGCAACAATGGGTGGCATTTGGAAAAGCGACGACTAGCCGCAGAGCATTTAAGCATAAAAAATATCACCATCATTCTTTCTTCATTTAGACACCTCTTTTACAGAAGAATTAGTTGTCACATAGAGTTTCTTGTTGAGTAGTTTCGTAGGCTCTTTCTCGTATTCTGTTGGATGGCGTTGTTTCGAATTATTGATTTATTGATTTAATGCCTTGCTACATTGCACTTCATCGTACATTAATATTCAGCAAATGCTCGAGCCAGTTAGAAACATCACAGCTCTTGAAAACTAATTAGAAATAATTCGACGTCCAGCAGCCAAACAGCCTAGCCTTATTGGCTGTGGGATTTTATTTGGAATAGTCACATATTGTTGCCATGACTTTATTTTCTTGCAACTCGAAAAATGTTCATAGCGTTAAAGCTCTTTATATTTGAAAAAAAGCGTGAAAAAAAAAGAACTTGAAATTAAATTTCTAGAAATTTGCAAGAAAATTGAACGCCTTCGGAAAAAATTTGAAGCCAAAGCTAACTGGTAAGGAACTTCTACACGATAGAGTTTCTGCAGTGTACACTGAATAAAATACTTATGCAACCTCAAACAGTCTTTCTCTCAGAAACCTTGTGATCACAAAATATTACATTTTTGGTGAAAACCCCGATTCGTTTGAAACAGCAAAAATTTGCCATCTGACAGATCTTGAGCCCCTCACTTCACGTCAGAGAAACAAAATTCGTAAGATTTCGATCGGTTTACTGGGTGACATAGACATAAAAACATCATCATAAAAATATTGCTCAAGTTTCTCTCAACATAAAAATGGTCGAAGAAACTGAAAGCATACAGTCTAGTAAAATTGAGATATGCTCACATTTTAGCGGAAAAAAAGTTAGATCGAAAGTACAGGCGCCTTTAAACTTCACACGGAGCATTAATTTTGTAAGAAAGGAGTCCAACATTCACAAAATCATTTGAGCGGAAAGTGCCGATAAAGAATAGACTGACAGACGTTAGTCTATAATGGCCGAAAAATGTGAGCTTGCAAAAAAGACGTTCCGACTAGAATCGAACTCGTTTGATTTTCCATTAGATACGAAATGCAATGCGGAATGTGGCGACCACGCCTATTCCATGTAATATAGTACACGCTCCCCTGTTTTTTTGTCACACTCTCTTTTAGAGCTTCCAGCTGTAGGGAAGGGGATGGATTGGAGTGATGTGAGGTGACGTGTAGTGGGTGAGTGATTGAGTGAGTGTACCTGTGTGAGTGTGTGTCTGTTGGGTCCCTTGATGAGGAGGGTGACACTCTGGGGGTTCTTGCACTTCTCCACAAATGTGAACTTGTCCTCCCCCAACACACTCTCGTACGCCAGTCCACAATGACCTATCAACACATACACACACATGATACATACACGACATGACATGCACTAGAGGTAACAGATAACTAGAGATAAAGAAAAATGACCCATCTAGAATACCGCAACAAGGGGTCAAAAAATGGGGGGGGGTCTTGTCTCATGCGCGATGGACCGACTGCTCAAAAAGCAAAAATTCTCAACAAATCAACGCCGTTCAAACTGTCCAAAAAAACTGACTGAACTTATCACTTGCTTCGAATTTACCAATACTGAATTCTGATTGGTTGACAAAACCTTCGCACTTTCTGTCCTTCGCGCACGAGGGATTCCTCACTGCAATTAAATGACAACTTTTCTTCTGAGGCGTCCCTTATGATGGACAGACCCGAATGTTGGAAAGATATTTTCGGCCTATCACAATTTAGTATTCAAAAAAACTCAAATAAACCAGGAAAATGTCAATCCAGGCCGATTAAAAGATAAACAGGTACATGAATTTTAAGATATTGCGAAATCAAGGTAAATATTGCGAAATCGAAGTCTGTATTCGAAACAAAAATGAGAAATAAAACAAAAACTTATTGTATATCTGCACGAATTGTTCAGCAAAACTTTGCTGTGCTGCTATAATTCAGTTTGTTAATAATTACGGACATTGTGCAAAAGTCATTTAGCCAAAAGGAGCGCCTAACGGTTCTGACTGGTTAACAATTTGCCATAATTCGGTCCCTCCATCATGAGAAATAACAAGCCCCCTTATCCATTTCTTTCATATGTTTCCGTCGTTTTCGGCCTGTTTATTGAAGTAATTTTTAAAGTTTTGAAATAAGGTCTTCATGAGGTTTTAAGAACCCGCCCCTCGTCCCTCGATATAATCCTACATCTGCGCCCCCCCCCCCCTCTCTCTCTCTCTCTCTCGTCTCACCTAGTACTTGAGGGGTGAGGTCGTCGAAACTGTTCACGGCCTCTCCCCCACACGCCAGACTGATCCTCTCCATATTCCTCCTCTTGGCCCGCCTCAGTCCAATGATGTTCTCTCTGGCCAGGGCGTCCAGCGAGAGGGGGTCGATGCCCTTCTGGTTGATGAGCAGGAAGCCCTTCTTCGGGTCATCCCCACACACTTCCTTCTTCAGCGCAATCACCTGCACCAAACCATACCAAACATCCAGTCAAACAAACAACCAAAGCAGCCGCCATGTTGGCCACAGCAACAGCAAAGCAACTGTTTGAAACCAAAATACAATGCAGAAGCATCGATCGGAGATGGACGAGAAAAAGAAGAAAACAAGAATAACTCATCCAAGAGTATACATACAACAAAATACTGAAGACAGGAAATCCTTGGAAAAGCTTGATTACCAAATGAGCTAATCTACCCTTGAAATTTACTAAAAAACTTTACCATGCTTATGGTCAGAGGGCGGATCTAGGTTTTCTCGAAGGGGAGGGGATTTTCAAAATCCACTTTTTTTTAGGTCGACCAAATTGATTTTATGAGCTCTCCCATATCACTATAGCCCCATTTTTACCAAATTTTCCGAGCCGCAGTCAACTTTTGAAAAAAAAAAGCGTTTCAAGGCACTTTTTGGAAAATTTAGACCTAAAAAATTGCGTTCTTCTCGACGCGCGCTCCCCCCTTTAGGGTCAGTCAGTCATAAAAGGATATCTCAAAATAGTTCAAAGTGGGCCCTTTGAGTCGAATCCCTGCGGGGGGCGTCCGAAGATCCAACCCCTCTATCAACTACGGGGATCCAACCCCTCTATCGGAACGAGAGTCAAGCTTGTAACCACAAGACGATCGTAACTCATAAGGAATTTTCAAGTCAAGCTTATAGTTTCAAAAATGGACCTATAAAAATCAGAAGAAAAATTTATAACAAAATCTGCTTCCCACCCCACATTTCATACTTTCAATTTTTACAGTTGTCTTACCTGTTATAATGACTGCATCCGTGATTTTACGATGTAAGGCGTAAAAAAATAATAAGTTCAGAATTCAAATTTTCATTGCATAACAAAGTTAAGTTTTTTCAAAATTAAAATTCAAATAAGAGGGATGGAAAAGAGCCACGAAATCAATTGACATTTACGAAATTGCAAAAACGTTCAATTTTTGAACCGAAATTTAGCTTGATTAGCTTTAAATAAATCCGGCTCTTTTTTACTCCGCTCAACTTTCAACTTATCGTTTCCAGAGTTGTCACTGACATTTTGATTCCTTGGTACCTTTTTAGTTTGCTTGATCTTTAATACTTGTAATTTTACCGTTTGACTTTTATTTTATTTTAACGACGTTTTGACTGTCTTCTGAAATCAACTGACTTCGGTTCTTGATGGCTTTGTGAGAGAGCTACCTTCTACTGCTTTAGCTTCAACGAAAAATAATTCGCTTTTACACTGAATTCAATTCATAATTATCATTTTCAAAACCCCCTTTTTTAAACTTCTTGTTTGTAATAAATGTTAGGGAAAATCAACCGATTTCAAATATCACTCTTCTTTTTTTTCAATTTCGGACTGCTTCAATCTTCACTTGTCTGTCTGCAAACCTGACGACCATTTCATTATTCTAATTACGACTGTTATTTCTCGTAGCATTTTGATATCCAGCTCTGGAAAAATATATGAAACAAGAAGATACAACATAATCAAATAAAATTCCATTGGTGAATTCCATTTGGTGAGGTTGAAGCCTCCGACTGACAAAACTTTCTGAGTTCAACATGATAGTCGCGGCTTCTTCTATTCTGGATAATATCCCAAAAAGGTCGTCCATATAAATATTGCGTTCCACTAGTTTGAGAGAACGCGGATAATTGTTGAAGCTGTCTATTTCACATCTTTGCAAAGCATAGGAGGCCATACAAGGTGAGTCTGAGGTCCCAAAAATGTGACTTGTATACTGATGACCTGTATGCAAAAATGTGACTTGTACACTTGAATACCGACTATCAAAGCAACAGAATTATTAGTAAAAGTCGGGAAGGAACATGTCTGAGATGCCGATATGCTCGGCAGAGCTTGTTCATTTTGCCGATGTTCACTGGAGACATGTTGGGATTAGGTTCAGAAACCAAATAGACTAAGTTGGTATAATTCGCCGTAGAACCAAAAGGTCGAAATTTGACTGCAAGATTCTAAGAGAGAGTAATTTCACGATTGAAATGATAACCGCCAACAGATATTGTTCATAAGTTGTTCATTTCAAGACCTAAGTCTGACCCCGCGGATTTGAGATCACGCTTTGGCAACAACCATTATCAAGATATGCATATGTGTGTATCAATTTATTTCCAATCGACAATTCAATTGAAACAAAGGGGAACCTGGCCTTTTCCGAAACATGAGCGACGAGTGAAGCTGTGTTTCTGATGTTAAAGTGTGTGCCATTGTTATCAGGAAGAAGTTTAAGATGTTTCAATTTGCAATCTCTGCAGCTGAAATCTGAGTTGCAATCCTTCAAGGTTCGTTGAAGGACAAAAGTTCAATTAGGAATTTTCCTGATTTTAAGCAACTGGAGACGATGTATATTGGCTCCTTTCGAAGCCACGCATGATTTGGTTATCGTTTTGAATAGTACCAGAATTGTCATTTGACGAGTATGATGATCCATACTTGCCAAAATTTCTACTCGCAGAAATTCTATTAATTTGAAGCAGACTTTCGTGCTGTGACAACTCCATACAAGCATTAGCGTAATTACGGAACCAGTTGACTAAATCAACCAGGAGATGGTTGATTTAAAGAAACTTCAATAGTGTGGCGATGCCAATCCAAGCGAACACGATTTGGTAGTTTAGCTAGACTCAAATTTAGATTTGTCGTAGAATGAATATCATGTTCGAAACCCAATTGGGCAAATGTATTAGGTTCTTCTACTGAAGGGGATCGAAACTGATTGAGTTTACAAGAAATGAGTTAATAATCCGTAGCGGATTACCAAAGCGCTCCTTGCGACGTTGTAAGGCCGAGACGTATGTGTCGCCGTTGCAACCATACCCATTTTCAAGTATATAGGCTTCGTTGAGAGCAAACAGATTTGCATCCGGGTTCAGCGTGTTTTGCAGATTAAGAAAATTAGAAGAATTGTGTTTATCAATCGCCAGCGCATGCGAACTTAGGCGATGGCTATCGAAACTTTGAGATCCTGAGAGCTGATTGTTTGGTGAAGTAACTGTTGATGCAGATGATTGCGAACTTTCATTCGTAATAAAATCAATAGCAGTGGCAATGTTGGCGGCAGCAGCTGTGCTACCCTGTAGTTGTATAGTAGGCTGATGGCTGGTGTTTTGTTTACTAGTTCACTGGTACTTCTTAAACAAGAGAAACTTTTTCTAATAATCAAAATATGTGCATAAACTCAGTTAGACTGTTCGTTCAATTTATCGGCATTCAGTGAATCAACAGATTCTTATTTATTTTTGGTCTCGGCCAGCTCATCTATTGAGTCTTGTTTCTTCGGTGCAATTTTCAAAAAACAACTTTATACGGTGTTAATTTCATCATTGTATAAAGTTTTTACTGAAACTAATTATTGTGTCTCATCGTTATTAACAAAAGTGCTTTCATCAATTTTGATTAAACTATTTGAACCTCCCAAAGAGGATCTTTTAGAGTTATTGCGAGACATTTGTAGCCAATTAATCTTGAATTCCAGAACACAGGGATTGACGCCTATTATCCTACTACCTTTTTATACCTAGCAAAATATTTGGGAATACGATTTTGAAAAAGCTGTCTAAATTTTATATAAACCACCAACTAAAACAACTTAAACCCGCTGGCTTCCAATTTTAAATCAAGATCCAAAAAACCGACCGAAAAAATAACTTCCCGTTTTACCAACTCGAAAAAAACTGACCATTTGCCTAAAAAATCTATTCCAACTGGCCAAAAATTCAGCGGCTCGTGCTCGCCCACGGGGAGCAAAAAACAAATACAGGCAGCAACCACTTGACAATGAGGGTTGGAAGAAAAACTGAGGGGTACAGTGAGTTTGAACGGGTCCCTCCAGAAATTTTCCCGCTCACCCACAGAAAATTAACAGACAAAATAAGGATTGAACGAAAAGAAGGGGTTCAAGCAAACTAAAAAAGATCACTACACACCAACACTTCGCTGGGGGAGGGGGGTTCTCACGTAATTGGAACAGCTCCCCCAATCCACGTAATCTGAAATTTTTCTAGTTATATGAAATCAAGCCAAATTTAGGTAAAACAGAATTTTTTCAGACATCTGTGGGAAACGCGAAAGTGAACAATTAAGGGAGTCTTTGAAAATTAATGGAATAATTTCAAGTTTCAGTCGCAGATGAAAGCACTTTCATGTCGAAATCTCAATTGTTCATTAAAATTTGATGTTCATGGTTAGGGAGAGGCAAATTAAATGAACAGATGTCGGAAGCCAAAAGCGTCATATCTTTGAATAAACCAGTAGAGTTCCAGAGATTTGGGCGCCAATTAAGCGAATGACCATCCCAAATCTGGAACTGCAAGCCGCCGTTCAACGAGCTCAATTAGCTCAAATCGTTCGTGATGAATCTGACTATAAAACTCCTTAGGTTAAATTTTGGTCGGATAGTACAACAGTCTTGTATTGGCTAAAAACGCCTGAGCTGCGTCTCGCAAAACTTCTTGATTTTTAACACTGCTCTGCTTCAAAATGTCCCTTTCCTCCTATTGGCTTTCAGGTCCATATTCCTTGAGTCAGCAACAAATTGCTTGGCCACAGCAAGGTCGTCTATGTTTCAATTCTTTTCAATTTCCAATGATTCCCTTAATGGCAGAGCCATCTTCAAAACAAGGCATTATCGATGTTTAACGCTTCAGCAACTGGCAAAGATTAATTAGAGCAACAGCTTACTGATTTCTCTTTGTTGACATCCTAAAGAAACGTCGATGTTCTTTAGAAATGACGATCTGCACTAAAGCTTATCTCTACATAATTAAAAGCTCTCAACTACAGGATTTTGACCAGGAACTGTTATGGCTCAGTCCATTTCTACACAATTCTCATGTCATTCGATCAAGAGGTCGGCTAAGCAACTCTACAATTTTGTCTACTGTTCGTTATCCTATCATTTGGAGTGGATTCAACCATATTGTGCAACTTCTCATAAAGTTCGTTCACACATCTAATTCTCATGTCGGCAGAGAACAGATTTCGAGTCTTCTCTTAGAGTACTACTGGAAACTTTGATCTAGCGCTACTGTTAAGCATACTGTGCGACAATGTTTGCCGTGTCGACGCATGGTACAGGAAATAAACTGACCTCTGATGTCAGATCTTCCAGAAAAACGTCTGCCAACAGAAAACCATTTTCCCTTTATGACGACAGGAATTGCCTTATCGTTGGAGCCGTTTACCTTGAGCTCGCAATTGATTTCTGAGCTGAGTGTTTTACATTGCATTCGATGCTCGGTTAGGCGCCGGGTAAGACTCAATAAATTGGTTTCTGATAATGGAACGTCATTTGTCAGTGCAAACAAAGTTCTACAATCTTGCATTGTGAATTTAGTAAACATCAAAGATTTAAAAAACAATCTTCAAGCCTCCGACATTAACATAGACCGGAAAACTAATCTATCCGCGGCACCACATTTCGGTGGTAGCTGGAACGTTCCGTTCAGATATTCAAGCTTTCTCTGTACAAAGTTATCGGATCCCAGACGCTTAATGACGAATCACTCCACACGTTTATCTGCGGAATAGAAGCTTCCACGAACTCCAGGACCTCTAACTAACGTTCCTTCAGATTTAGAAGATCCCCTACCACAATTAATTTTCTACTAGGTAGACTATCAACCAACTTTTCCCCTGGACTGCTCTTAGATTCAGAAGTGACAATTTCATAGTCTTGACGTACTGCTAAAAATTTATCACAGCAATTGTGGAATAGATTCCTCAAGAGTGCTTACCGCAAAAACAACTAGGAACTATAGGGAATCGCAGGTCTCCGAACCTTCTTGTCAATGATTTAGTGTGGGTACTTAAAGACTTCACTCCTCGCGGCTTATGACCTCTTGCAAAAGTCATGGAAATATACAAAGGCACTAATAACAATGTGTGTTCAGTTATGCTACAGCTGCCTAATGATAAATGAAAATTAGCAAAATTTTTCTTAAAAGTTTTTATGCAATCACAGAAATTAATTAGAAGGCCACCCTTTCGATACCCGAGTTTATAATAACTGACAACACGATCAATGTTACCCCTCCAACTGTTGATTTTGTATTACCCTTTCGATCATCATTCCTTACTTGGATATTTTCAATCTGCTATTACCTTACAGCATGAACAAAGTGAACAATTAAGGGAGTCTTTGAAAATTAATGGAATAATTTCAAGTTCTGTCGAATTTGACATTTTTGAATCGCAGATGAAAGCACTTTCATGTCGAAATCTCAATTGTTCATTAAAATTTGATGTTCATGGTTAGGGAGAGGCAAATTAAATGAACAGATGTCGGAAGCCAAAAGCGTCATATCTTTGAATAAACCAGTAGAGTTCCAGAGATTTGGGCGCCAATTAAGCGAATGACCATCCCAAATCTGGAACTGCAAGCCGCCGTTCAACGAGCTCAATTAGCTCAAAACGTTCGTGATGAATCTGACTATAAAACTCCTTAGGTTAAATTTTGGTCGGATAGTACAACAGTCTTGTATTGGCTAAAAACGCCTGAGCTGCGTCTCGCAAAACTTCTTGATTTTTAACACTGCTCTGCTTCAAAATGTCCCTTTCCTCCTATTGGCTTTCAGGTCCATATTCCTTGAGTCAGCAACAAATTGCTTGGCCACAGCAAGGTCGTCTATGTTTCAATTCTTTTCAATTTCCAATGATTCCCTTAATGGCAGAGCCATCTTCAAAACAAGGCATTATCGATGTTTAACGCTTCAGCAACTGGCAAAGATTAATTAGAGCAACAGCTTACTGATTTCTCTTTGTTGACATCCTAAAGAAACGTCGATGTTCTTTAGAAATGACGATCTGCACTAAAGCTTATCTCTACATAATTAAAAGCTCTCAACTACAGGATTTTGACCAGGAACTGTTATGGCTCAGTCCATTTCTACACAATTCTCATGTCATTCGATCAAGAGGTCGGCTAAGCAACTCTACAATTTTGTCTACTGTTCGTTATCCTATCATTTGGAGTGGATTCAACCATATTGTGCAACTTCTCATAAAGTTCGTTCACACATCTAATTCTCATGTCGGCAGAGAACAGATTTCGAGTCTTCTCTTAGAGTACTACTGGAAACTTTCATCTAGAGCTACTGTTAAGCATACTGTGCGACAATGTTTGCCGTGTCGACGCATGGTACAGGAAATAAACTGACCTCTGATGTCAGATCTTCCAGAAAAACGTCTGCCAACAGAAAAACATTTTCCCTTTATGACGACAGGAATTGCCTTATCGTTGGAGCCGTTTACCTTGAGCTCGCAATTGATTTCTCAGCTGAGTGTTTTACATTGCATTCGATGCTCGGTTAGGCGCCAGGTAAGACTCAATAAATTGGTTTCTGATAATGGAACGTCATTTGTCAGTGCAAACAAAGTTCTACAATCTTGCATTGTGAATTTAGTAAACATCAAAGATTTAAAAAACAATCTTCAAGCCTCCGACATTAACATAGACCGGAAAACTAATCTATCCGCGGCACCACATTTCGGTGGTAGCTGGAAGGTTCCGTTCAGATATTCAAGCTTTCTCTGTACAAAGTTATCGGATCCCAGACGCTTAATGACGAATCACTCCACGCGTTTATCTGCGGAATAGAAGCTTCCACGAACTCCAGGACCTCTAACTAACGTTCCTTCAGATTTAAAAGATCCACTACCACAATTAATTTTCTACTAGGTAGACTATCAACCAACTTTTCCCCTGGACTGCTCTTAGATTCAGAAGTGACAATTTCAAAGTCTTGACGTCTTGCTCAAAATTTATCACAGCAATTCTGGAATAGATTCCTCAAGAGTGCTTACCGCAAAAACAACTAGGAACTAGAGGGAATCGCAGGTCTCCGAACCTTCTTGTCAATGATTTAGTGTGTGTACTTAAAGACTTCACTCCTCGCGGCTTAAGACCTCTTGCAAAAGTCATGGAAATATACAAAGGCACTAATAACAATGTGTGTTCAGTTCTGCTACAGCTGCCTAATGATAAAATGAAAATTAGCAAAATTTTTCTTAAAAGTTTTTATGCAATCACAGAAATTAATTAGAAGGCCACCCTTTCGATACCCGAGTTTATAATAACTGACAACACGATCAATGTTACCCCTCCAACTGTTGATTTTGTATTACCCTTTCGATCATCATTCCTTACTTGGATATTTTCAATCTGCTATTACCTTACAGCATGAACAAAGACCTATCATATACTTTGTTTTACCCTACAAAATTATCGTATTTTGATTTGCTTTATCATGCAAATGGGGGCGAATAATGTCACCGATATTTTGATTCTTTTACTTTTTATTTTGCTTGACCTTTGTTACTTGTAATTTTACCGTTTGACTTTTATTTTAATCACGTTTTGACGGCAAGAGTCAATGGTTTTGACAACTTCGGTTCTTGATGGCTTGTGAGAGAATTACTTTCTTCTGCTTTAACTTCAAAGCTAAATAATTCGCTTTTACACTGAATTCAATTCACAGAGCGCGTCTTCTTTTTCATTTTGGGACTTCTTCAACCCTCACTTGTCGGTCTGCAAAGCCGACGACCATTCCATAGTTCTAATTTTGACTGTTTCTTCTCATAGCACTTAGATTGATAAGCAACTCTGGAAATATATAGGAAGCAAGAAGATACAACGGAATCGTATACAAAACAAAGAAAGAAGGATACCAAAAAAAGATGAATACACAAAGGAGATATGATTAATCCAACTATGATAATCAAGTAAATATGATCTATTTACAAGGGAACTTCACAAGTGTAAGCCAACACGAGCACTAAATTTCGATCACTTTCTTTGAAGTTCAGAAAAACAGTTGTAAGGCCCCTTCCGACATCAGGTCGCTCTAACGCCAAACAAATGCATCAATACGGCAATAATGGAGCTGTAGTTTAGTAATGATTGAAAGCAGTATTCAAACCCTCCTCTATCAAACGATTTTAGAATTTTCTATGTTGTGGTATTTTGCATCCCCCATGGCAGAGATATGCACACTTTAAAAGAAATCTAGATTTTGGGCGTGCTACTTCGGCCTGCATTTGAATCAACTTGAAATAGTACTCAACATGCTAGCAGCAGCACAACTCACTCACTCACCTGCTTCACGCGGTGGTCAATCACACTCCTCTCTGCGGCCACCAGCTTCTCCCTTTCCTCCGCCGATTTGTAGAAGAAGGACGAGTTCACCTCCGTCTTCTCATACTCAAGCGACACATTGCACGTCAGAATGGCACAGTCCTCTGCCTTCTTCGGCATGTTCGGGTGTCTGGCTCCGTGGTCCATGACGATGCCACGCACCAGCTGAGTGTCCACATCTAACTTATGCATCATCTCCATGATCTCTATCATGTGCAGATCCAGCGGCTTGCCCTCCACTTTGATGGCCAGCACAGCGTCCACTATCTTCTCCGTCAGCAGATCGGCCATCACTGGGTGCACTTTAGTTCTCAGAGATGTCCTGGCCACATTGCACAGTGTCTCTCTGTCTATCTTCCCACTCAGACACTTCATGTCTTCCAGAAGAGTCAGTGCCTTCTCCTTGGCCAGAGTGAATCCCTCGGTCAACAGTCTAGGATGCAGTCCCTCGGAAACGTACAGCTCTGCTTGCTTGATCAGCTCTCCGATGATCAACACATTAGAGGTTGTCCCGTCGCCTGTCACGTCGTCTTGAGCGGTGGCTACTCTTGCAACAAGCGATGCAGTAGGGTGTTGGATTTGCATTTCGTGCAGCAGAACATTTCCATCCTTGGTGATCTTAATGTCTCCTGCTCCCGAAACCAACATCTTCATTGTTCCTTTCGGCCCCAAATTAGTCCTCAACACATCTTGCAAACCTCTCGCAGCATTTATGTTCACCGAGAGCGCTTGAGCAGCACGAGCAATCTCCGCTTTGGGATTCAACACTTTGATAGCAGACATCTGGCAAAACTGAAAAATCACTCATATATCTCGAATCCTTTCGCCATTCAGGCCTTTTCAACCAAGAAGCCATGTTTTGTTAGCCGTTTACAATTACTTTTTTCTATTTCATCTTGTTCGCCAATAGTAGATAGAAGAAGTCATGCGCACTCTCAGTTCAAAACCTCGTTTTAAATTTTTCTTTAAATATTAAGTTAATTTATGAATTTAGTTCAAGAAAGCTAGTTCTGTTCCAACAGAGATCAGAGTTACTAGCAATTAACGCACCATCGGTGCTTGGCAATTTTTCGACAACTCATGAAAAACCGCATATATTGGAAACAACATCTGCAAACTTTTAGTGTACTCTGACAGCACCCAATTACAGCGTTGGTAATTTTTTAAATTCCCATTTTAAAAGCGTCATGTCGAAAACTTAATGGTTCTCTGGAGAAATTTGGAGTCCAGATTTGCAACCACTGAGAGTCCCTGAGAGCACCCTACTATAGGGTTAGGAATTCAAAAGTTTCCCAAAAAAAAATAAAAAACGTCTTAACTCGGAAACTAAAAAGATTTGAGCATTCAGATGAGGAGGCAAGATATGAGACGCTTGGGTGTACGCTAACAATAAGGTTGTATCTTCACCAAGCAAGTAGTTTCAAATTTTTAGAATTTCTTTGTAGATAAGTTTTTTGAGAAAATTTGAAAAAATCAAAAAACTTCACATCTCGGAAATTAAAAGCATTTGAACAGTCGCGTTTAGCAGTCGCATGTGGCAAGGTTTGCAACTCTTTAGAGTACCCTGACAACAGCAAACTATAGTTCACAAGTTCAATTCTGGTCTATAGGCTTCGGCCTCTATCGACCAGCTCTTTCTTCGACGTCCATTTCGTCATTCCAAAAACGATGCGTCGTACATATCGGACGCCCATAGTTTGTCAAGTCTTGCTTTGAATATGCTGACGTTCTCGCTCGATATTATTCTTTCAGGCAATGAGTTCCAGTCGTTAATGGCTGCGATAGTGAAGAAGTTTTGTCTTGCTGTTGTTTTGATTTTTCTCGTTTAAATTTTGTACGGGTTTCCTCGGGTGTCTCTTTCATTGATCGTAAACAGTCCTTCCGTTGCTGCGGCATCGTACAATCCATTCTAAATTTTGAAGACTTCTATCAATTTTCCGCGCTTCCTTCTATACTCCAGCGTTGGCAGTTTGTGCCAGTCGGTCATATTTGGAAGTTTGACCTTGAGAGAAGCAAAAAACACTTGATTTTGGAGTGAAATTTAATTTTTCAAAATTTCGAATGGAACATGTCATGCACGATTTTCTCGCGATAACTGAAAATCAGAAAAAGAAATCAGAACAATTTCAGAACGATTAAGACACACACGCGGGAAAGTCGCAAGAAAAAACAGTAGGAAATTGCTATTCGCAATTTCCATCACTATAATAATCGAGAGTAGAGCTGTCCCATCTGTGACAGAGACGAGAGCATTCCCTCGAGTTGGATTATTACGATTGGAATACTATTCTTGACTGGACCAGAGTGAACCTTCGGTGGGAAGGTGGACAGCTAGAGTGTCCCAATGGTTCACGAGAACTTGCAGTCTAGAGTAAAAACTTGTTCTTGTTGTTGAAACTGACTAACATTAAACTCATATTAGTTACTTTATTAACTCTTGAGTTGTTTACCGACTTATTTACTTCCTGGTTCTTGAGCGTGCTACAATGTGAGTACTTAATTTAAATTCTAGAGTGTGTTTTATAATTGTTATGTTGAGGTAAGGCGAGTTTTAGGTTGATCCATCTGAAATGGATCAAAGTTACACTGTCTAATAAAAAGTAACCTAACGGATTGTTCCAACCCGGTTTTTAACGGCGTTCATGTATTTTGGGTATCTAGAGACCTAAGTATGGGGACGTTTCTAATTCTAGAGTGGGGGGATATTTTAGTAGTAGCCTTTAAGCTGTAACGGGTCGTAGTCTCATGTCATAAGCGAACCGAACTGGCTCCGACCGTTCTTGAGGTGGGAAAACACAAGAGATAGTGTCCCTGACCCTTGAGCCAGTGGTTATAGGGCCTATTTTTCTTAAGCCTCATGTGTGACTGCAGTAGACGAATGTTACATAGTGTTTTTATGGCGCTCCTGGGTGTTTACGACATCAAGACTACGGAGTCGAACCCACTTGAGACAGCTTCGGGCTGAATGCCCATTCTAGAGTACCGGCGGTACGGTTCGACAGGAACGTGCAAACCTTCCGGTTGTACCGTGATAGCTTTTTAAGAAAACTCGAGAAAATTTCCTGGTACGCTCTCCGAACGAGGCTTAGCTAACCGAGTAAAGGGGGGCAACTAGGGGGACAAAAACACGAGCAAAAAGACAAAAAGCAAAACAAAAACCAAAAAAGAATAGAAAAAGGAACAAAAACCATAAAACGAAAAAAGACAGTGACTTTGACACCAGATTAGTTGGATCAAACCTTTATATTAATTAAATAGTATACCCATACTGTTTTACAAGTTCGATCGTTTCGATCAACCTAGCAATTTAAACCAGTAAACTGAATAAAGTGTCCGAAGTGGGGCGTTGTCAAGGGTTTTCAGATAGCTTGGAACTTAGCTGGACCAATAGGAGACTTGACTGGAAGAGGTGACCAGCCGAGTGGGAAAGTGGTTCAGGGACACTTGAGCTGAACCAATAGGAGACTTGACTGGAAGAGGTGACCAGCCGAGTGGGAAAGTGGTTCAGGGACACTTGGCTGAACCAATAGGAGACTGGACTGGAACAGGTGACCAGTCGAGTGGGAAAGCAGCCAAGAAGGATTTGGCAATTCTCGAGTTCTCAAGTTGGGCGGAACGGGTATCGTTAGAATCCACATTACATTATAGGAGATAAGTGTAAAATTGGATAAGCGAAATCCCCCAGTTTTGAGGAACGTTTTTACTTGAGCAGGCCTGGAAACAGGTCTACGGTTTTCTCTTGAGAGGTTTAGCACCCGGCGCTTAAAGTAATTTTTAGGCTTAAGAAGGGGGGCTAGAAAGGGGGGAGGTTAGAAGGGGGACTGGTTAGGCTAGAGGTTGGCGGTTGTAAATTGCAAAAAGGGGGAAATTAGAGTAACTAATTAGTCGACATCGTTGACTTAGTTACATTAGAAATTAACACGCGTTGGTAATATTAGGTGGAGATCCAAAATCCAACTCGAGTTAAGGCTGGTACGCTGGTTGGTTTGGTAGGGGGGACCGGATATAGACAGCTTTTGTGATACCCCATAAGATCACTAGTGGGGGGAGGAAAACGCGTGGCAATTAGGTACCAGACATTTTTTTTAGACGAAAGGTAGACATTGGTCACCTTTAAATTTTAGGTGGGCTCATTTTTCTGTTTTTATTATTATTTTTTTTTTTTTCTTACTTAAAATTTTTGTTGCATTTTATTGACGATTTGTGTTTGGTTTTATACGAACAGGTGATCACAAGATACCTGCGCACCTACATTGAAATAGAAACAACCAAAAAGAAGAGGGGGGTCAGCATTTGGCTTTTAAGAGAGGGTTTTTGGGAAAATTTTACTAGAGCTTGAGTGGTGGTACAAGGTACGGTGGTTCAAGAAGACCCTACAACGAGGAAGACACTCCGTGACGAGTATTGGGACAAGACCGAAGAAGTCTTGGGACAGAGCAGTCTTGGGATAGTGGTCTTGGGACAGGGTCTTGGGACAGTGGCCTTGGGACAGGGTCTTGGGACAGTGGTCTTGGGACAGGGTCTTGGGACAGTGGTCTTGGGACAGTGGTCTTGGGGCAGGGTCTTGGGACAGGGTCTTGGGACAGTGGTCTTGGGACAGGGTCTTGGGACAGTGGTCTTGGGACAGTGGTCTTGGGACAGGGTCTTGGGACAGGGTCTTGGGACAGTGGTCTTGGGACAGGGTCTTGGGACAGGGGTCTTGGGACAGTGGTCTTGGGACAGGGTCTTGGGACAGTGGTCTTGGGACAGTCTTGGGACAGTGGTCTTGGGACACTAGTCTTGGGACACTAGTCTTGGGACACCAGCCTTGGGACACTGGTCTTGGGACACTACCCTTGGGACACTAGTCTTGGGACACTAGTCTTGGGACACCAGCCTTGGGACACTGGTCTTGGGACACTACCCTTGGGACACTAGTCTTGGGACAGTAGTCTTGGGACACTAGCCTTGGGACACTAGTCTTGGGACAGTAGTCTTGGGACACTGGTCTTGGGACACTACCCTTGGGACAGTAGTCTTGGGACACTAGCCTTGGGACACTAGCCTTGGGACAGTAGTCTTGGGACACTAGCCTTGGGACACTGGTCTTGGGACAGTAGTCTTGGGACACTAGTCTTGGGACAGTAGTCTTGGAACAGTGGTCTTGGTACAAGGGTCTTAGGACACTAACGGAGAGTACTGTGATAGTGACGAATAGTCTTGGGACGGTATAGAAATTGAAGTCAAATTACAACAAGTGCGTTTTAAGACAGAATAAGACAAATCGAAATAGGTAGGGTTAAGACCAAATTAAGGAAAATTTTTCGGAGGTTTTAGAAAGAGAATTGGATAAGGTTTTTAACACGTTGTACAGAATTTGTTACCACAAAAAATATTTTTTTTTTACCCTTAGAATAGAATCGTGTATATAATAAAATTGTAAATAGAAGCAGTTGTAAATAGAAATAATGAGGCGGAGTAGGGTACCGGTGCTCGAAAAAAGGTCAAGTGGATCAAACACGAAATATAATTCATCGCTGCGCGGAACGACATCAACGGGCCCAAAGATAACGAAGACGAACTTTTCAGTTAACATGGTCAGCACAAGGAGTACAGCGGAGAACAGGGCGAAAGAGGGCACGGAAGGGGAGCGAGTAGAACCCACCATCGAGATTGATCTAGAGACACCCGATCAAAGTGTGGATGAAACAAGGAAGATGGCGACAGAGTCAACTCCAATGCCCAATGCAGAGGAACCGAACCAGAAACCCATAGAGTTCTCACCGATAGATGACGCGGAAGATGCAATAGGCAAC